GAGGCACCTTAATCCAAGGGGGCAAAGAGAGAGAAAGAGAAAACAATGGTGATTGTCTGGAAACGTTTACAGCCTAATTATGTGAACACGGGGCCCGGCCATGGTGGAGTAACAATGCTATAACTCGTAACAATGTACGATTGTTCATTGTCTGCCCGTGCCCCTTCGCTTTTCTTCGCGTGTGCACGCGCAGAGCTAACCCCATGATACTACGTGGCGACTGTTTTCAGCCCTTGTTTCAAGACCCGATCGTCTGCCTATGGAAAATCGTCGATTGTTATCGACGACTTTGCATGGAAAATTCATTCTCGATGATTTACCGTTATTAAGCGACAAACACCGCAGCGAAAGGGTTAAATGAAAAGCAATTAACCGAGCCATTTTCCAATTACAGCGAACGCACGCTGAAATAAATGAATTTTCCCAACACGTGAGTCACTCGCAGCACACGACACGATGCTTTGACTCACGTGAATTTCCATGTATCTGCTAATGGAAGAGGAGAGAGGATCGAAAAATTGCCACTCTAAATTCGATTGGTTGCCGGGCACGCGGAGCAAGTGACCCGGCCGGATGTTCGACCTCGAACCTTTCATAGGTTGCTCGTGACTCGTCCAGCCACTTCTCTCTTTCTCCATGGGGGCCTTGTTCCTCGGTCTCGCAACATCCGGCCTGTCTTCCAAGGCCACGCAAGATCATACAGAAATCGGGTCGTTGAACCGGCCCGATGGCTGGTTATAACGCGATCAAACGAGCAGGCGCCAACCGGAGATAAACGCTTTGGTACTTGATACATCGTTACTCTTTGATAAGCCACGATAACGCGACTACTCAGAGACTTTCTCTTCGATTGCTTTCTTCCTACTTTTTGCTCTCGAATCATCTTGTGAAAAGGTTCTTCGGTTCGATCGATTTGTCTTTGCCAAAAGATTCTGTTAGAAATTCATTCCGAGAAAAACGGATAGGTATTCAGTTTGTTAGAGAAATCTGTAAGGAAATACGTGTCTTGTCTCTAAAAATAAAACGATACACTTTTGCAAGAAAATTACAGCGCACACGTGTTCATACCGTTAACGAAGTTAATTTCGCTTATACTCGGAATACATTTGGTTTCTTTCCTACTTCCGTCTGATAGAATTGTTGAATCGATGGTTACGCGTGTCCTGCAAACAGCGCACAACGTTACACTCGCGTGATCCTGCCTCGTTACGCTCGTCTGGCCGTCACTATTGGCGAAAGAACGTTACCTAAGCGAAGGTTTCTTACCGTGAACTTTGCCTTCCGTTTCGTGGTGGAAACCAGTCGCGTTTCCACGGAATATTGCGTCGTCGTCGTCGTCGTCGTCGTCGACAATTATTGGATTCTCGTTTTCGAGCACAGCCGGTAGCATGAGAAATATGCTAATTTCTCGCTGCTATTCGATCGAAAAAGGAAATTGCAGCCTTTGAACGATATAGGTCGTATGGAATTCGAAGTAGATGGAAAAATGATTGCTTCGAGGAGTGAACTGTATCGGAAGAAACAGCTGAGGTTTACGTAACGTTAAATCGTATCGCCGGCTTAATGGAGGAACGTGGAAAAACTGATTTGTCATTGAGATATAGTAGTCGGAAAAGATTTAATTACCGCAACATCCAGCTACTTAGAATGAAATAAAATGAAATCACTGATAATATCAAGTGTCGACTTGAAGGTTCTAATCGAAAAAATGAATAATGGTAATTAAAGTAAACCGTGTGTCTCGCCACAAGTGTATGTGTATCCATTTCAACAGTGAACGAGTGGATAAACTAGAATCGTGCTAGTTTCTAATATTCTAATTACCTGCCGGGCAGGGACACGCGTTTCCCAGCGATATGTCGTCACGAAGTTGAGTTCCGAGGCGAACGACGAAAAAGGCGTTCGAGATCGAGAAAAATTTCGCGCCGCGCAAATATCCTTTTCCAAGGACACCGTCTTCGGGAACCAGTCCCATAGCGAAAAAGCGTACGCTCGAGAGGTTCATCGAGTCCGCTCGTGAGTACTTAGGTTTCTCGCACGCGCGAGAAAACCCGTGAGCGGAGAAACGATCCGCGACTGCCTTTCGTTTTTCCTTCGACCAAACAGTCCTTGAGAAAATCTTCCCGCCTCGATTCTCAATTTCGTCATTCGGATCGATCAGGTTCTCTCGTTCGCGACACTTTTCCAATTCGACGAGAAAAGTCACTGATTTTCTTTCGTACAAAGATCCTTTCACGAATAGACGGCAGGAGTATTTGTTAGACTTTACTTTCTTTGGTTTTTCCTCGGGAAAGGACAAGTTTCTTGAAAGATTTAACTCGATTCCATTACGAAATTCGTACGGAGATACTTCGACCTCGTTCGCTCGATGATTCTTTCGAGAGATTACGCCGCATTTGCATACGATTGAATAAGCAGCGAGAGAAAAACGCGTTTCGCTGTTTTCACGCGGAGAATTCTCTGCTAACTATCGTTCTTTGCGCAGATATTTCTTCTAAGCTAAAAAAACCATGTTGATCGACGTCTATTTTCTGTTAGTGTTAGTTTAAATCGTTCGTTAAAATTTACCTATCAGAAGACCGGATGTTTCACAAAATTTCTGAATGAAGAACGAGAGCACGATGCAACGTTTCGACAGAGCAAGGTGATTCAACCAAGAAACACCTGTACGGAATACCTTCTTCTTGTCGTTGTCGTTTGTCTTCCAGCTAGTTTATTCGTAACGCGATTCGCAGAGCTGTGCACGTGCACATTTAAACGCGACGAAAGGATGTTGGTTTGCAGGATCGACGAGGAAGGCTAAACAAAACGCACTGGATACTTTAATAAAGAACACTCGATGGTTAATGTATTTTTAACGAAGAAAATCAATGTATTTCACGAAGGGCAGCTGTGCGGTACGTTTCATCGATTGATTAAATGAAAGCTCGAGGCTAAAATAGAGTCACGTGTATGGCGGGAAAGCAGAAAATCAACGATGGAGGAACGTGAACGGCTTCGCGACAAAGCTTAAAAATATCTTTGGACGATCGTCGTTGATCACCGCACGTGCATGCGACGAGAATTTACTCGTCGCTGCAGTTTGACCCGTGTAACCCGTTCTTAAACGCGTTTCCAAGCGGACAGAGAGACCGATGATCTCATTTCCCCGAGCGTGCACCGATTTAACCCCTTTGCCTGCAAGAAACGCATATATACGTCTTCGGAAAGTGGCTACTATGGGTGCGTTGACACATTCTCGGTTCGATGGTTCGCCCATCAGCTCCGAAATGTACGTTAACACTCGTCTGGTGGCAGACGTTAACCGCGTCGATCGTCCGATTTCGATTCATTTGTTGGAAGGAGCCACGCCCCATCGACTAGTCCCGAGACAATGGACCGTTCTTCGGGGCTTGATCGAAGTCAAATATCAGGGCGGCCGTTAGCCAGCTCTCACAATCAGCTGCCTCGCGCCTGGCTCCTCTTTCAAACCGTCGCGAGACTCTCTGCTTGCGATCATTCCCTCTTGGACTTGGCCACTCAGGGGGTCCCAAGTCCTTGTCGTGTTCGTATCGTTTTTGTTTTCTTTTTCGGCTGCTTTCAATTATCCTGCCACCTCTTTTGTCTTGGCGTCGCGGACAACTGCCTCCGTACGCTGTGTTCCTCCAAGTCGATTCATCGCTAAACGACTTCTCCGCGCGTTCGAGCGGAGTCGCGTTTTTCGTTGAGCAACTCTTCCACGAAACCGGGAATTCTCGAGATTCTGTTTCTTTTTTTCTGGTGTGTCAGCAATTTCAAGCTGACTCATGGAAACTGAATCTGTCGTTACCGACATAGCGAAAGGCAAACGCTTCTTTGTCTCCTCTCGAAAAGTACAATTCCTCTTAGAGCGAGTCGTTGCCAGAGTCTGGTGGATCGAGACGGATCAGGCGGATCGAAATAAAACGATAACCGTCCCTCGATCTTAATACTAGAGTGGCGATCAAGCCGAGTCGGAGCTCATTGTTTTCGAGGCTCCTCGGGGAGGGTGTGGTTGCAGGCAACGAAATCCTTAAAAGGTCGCGCGAAAACGTAGAAAGAGCTGGCCTGGCCAGCCACGACAAAAGAACGGTTCCGTGTTGGAAAACGTCGGCCAAGAGGTAGTTGCTTTTTATCGGGCTCTTTGTCGAGGCAGCTGGTGAACAGGTGTTACCTGGCCAGCCTTAGCCGTCAGCTGTTCCGCTTCTAAACCATCTCTTCTGCTAAGCTGCAACGCGTTCGAAACGGCCGTTACTTGCTAACTAGCCAGCAAACGACCATGTCGATTCCTCTTTTTTCATCATGCAAATACCGAACGCGACAGGAAACTCCCCTACCGCTTTCTTTCTTCTTTCCCTGAAATTCGTGACCTGTGTGCGAATCGAGGCGAGAAAATGGCCATCAACCGTGTGTGTTCGTTAAGGAAGGACAATAGGTGGACGATGGAGGTTTGCGGGCTACGTTCGGAATACCAGATAGGAGAGTTAAAGGGATTTATTGGGTGCATTCGGGCCCGAATCTTGCTTGAATAAGTCGAATCGAATTCGACGGAGTTCGGTTAACCAGTTTCTATGGACTGGCTAACTTTCCTGGGAATTTGCTTGATTCGAATGCTGTTTTCGAATAGGAGCAGTTTCAACGTGTGGCTTTATTATGGTAACGTGGAAATGAGTTATGTATCAGATTGTTGCCATAATGTTAGACTTCGTAGTTGTAGATTTAAACTTCGTGTTCGTTGATAGTCGTGAGAAAGTAATTCGTGGGTAGTTTCAGCTTCCTATCTCGTATAGCCTTTAAGTTATTAAGTTCCATGCATCGTCCAAATATGAACATTAAGTATATCGTGGATTTACGAGTTATTTCATATAAGAGAAAGAAATATGAAATAATGTCTTCTAAGAAACAACGTCATAAAGTATGATGATCGCACGTGTCGCGAGCAGAGGTCTCGCGATCGTTTGGACGGAACGCAAGCGTCGCTTATGAATAACGACGCGTAATGCGGCATCGTTTCGGTATCATTAAACGCAATTGACATCTGCTGACTGGCAGTTGGTTGCCAACTGGTTGCTCGACGATGGCTGGTGGTACCGTGCGCCATAGTATTTGCAGTTCCTTCTCCTCGATGTTTGATCGATCTGCTTGCCTACCCTTAACGTTATCCTATTTCTACCCGATAACTAGCTTGTCCCGCGAAAACCTCCACCTTCGTCGAGCTTAAACGTCCCTATTATACTGCCATTTCAGGCTACTCGCGTGATCTTTGCCAATATTATAGGGAAAACTTTGTTTCCACGTAACCGATCGTTTCGTTGATGGAATATAAACTTTGGATCCTGTACGGTTTATTGGAATTGATGGAACTTAAAAGCGACAGTGAATCGTGGGTCTTGTTTGCGATGGTATCGGCCGTTGAGATTGGAGGGATCAATTATGGGTGAAGGCGATTCGATGTTGTCGATGGATCGATTGGAGATAACGATCAATGATTATCCGAGCTTCTTCTCTTTATTGCGGTGTAAAATATAAAAATAACAGATGAATTTCCAAAAATCCCAACACTCTTATATGAAAAGCGGTCTCTGAAAACCTGTTAATCCAGTGAAAACAGGTGAAAACGTAAGATCGGAAGGAGCTTGCGGTGCTGGATTTTTCCCTGGCGCATTTTTTGTCAGTCTGTTTTGCAAGCGAGGGGTGGCTCTTTCTCTGTCGACAGTGGGTGTCGATATTAGGGGTAGCGAGAGGAGTTGGAGAGGCCGAGGAGGGTAGTGGATTTGGGGGTTGGACCCGTGTCGAGGTGGGGCAAAGGTGACCCCCGCGGATCAATACCGACCCTGGTTCGGCGCCTACACCGTACTCCAACCACCGATGTTCTTGTATTTCCTCTCGAAATCGAACCACATTTCATACCTTGTTCTCCAAGAAAATTTACTTGAAACCTTCATAATCATTCGTCATTGAATTTCCTTGGAAGGAAGTCGAGTCAGTTTCTTGGAAACACGTGGTAGCGTGTGCAATCCAATTTTCCTACGCGTTTTCACGAGGCGCGAAAGTAGCTGGCGTTCGAGCGAGCGTAACGGAGAACGCTTGAAACCGTTCATTGGACGAGGATGATGCAACGAAGACGCCAGTCGATTACTTCACTGCTTTCTCTTGTTCCGGATAAGCGTAATATCGTTCAGGATTAGAAATGGTATCGAGGGGCGAGAGGTGAAACGAGATGTTTCGCGAGCGTGACGAGCACGAAGGGCGTCTCGTGCTCGCCGGCCTGTTTCTCTTCTCCTTCGACGCGGCAAATTAAATTCGAGCTTTCTCGAGCGTGTCTCCTGTTTCTCGCGAGCCTAATAACTTATTCCTTCGACCCGTTGATGATTAATTTACCAGTGTTTCGCAATAGTTCAGAAAGTAAGAGTAAAGGTGCAGAGCGTCGAACAGCGTAAAGCTCTTGATACCGTGTAAGCAGGGACAACGGTGCGAATTAATGTCGATTTATTATTCGTACTTGGTACATGCTTGTTGTTGAAATATTGTTGCAGTTCGGCGCGATTTTATCTGGAAAGATATTATAGAGATTGCAACACGTGTACCGGCGTACATGTGTTGTGCATGCGATAGAGAAAGATACAGGGGAATTCGAATTAATGGAGATAGAACTGCCACGGATGGCATGTGATTATCGCATTGATTGCCATTGTAAATTCACCGAAATTTCTAATTATAATTGCGGATATTTGAATGCCTATTATCAGAATGTTCTACCATTCAAACGCGCTATTATTCAAGCAGTATATCCCTGTAGAGTAGTACAGCGTGACGAAAATGCTTGGAGTGATTGTAGCAGCGGATCTTTAATAATAATTATTTAAGTATAATGCTTCCATAGAAGTTGAATAGCGTGCGCAAGAATGAAAGTCTGGATAAAAGCTTGTACAATTCATTGTCATTTATCGGTAGTTGGGTTATTTCTTCTAAAATATTCTATGACAAATGTAAGAAAAGCGGGAGGTCTTATTGAAATTTCATTTACGATAGAATTTCGGCGCTTTGAAAAGATTCCAAATTTAATTGGCAATCGTGAAATTGAGCAATCTAAATCTTGAAACTCCGCTTCTTAGAATCTAACGTTCAAGTTTCTACCTCGACGGCACAGATTTTTCCTTTTCTTTGACAATGACGCGATTTCTCAAGGGTTCTCTACGACCCTCCGGAGATCTTTTGAGAACTTAGCAACGAAGAAAGAGGATGTTTGCCTTCGAAGTAGGGTAAAAACCTAATTTGTCGACGTCGCAGCTCGTTCCAGAAGTTCTCTAACGAATTTCAGTAGCATCCACGAACCAGCTCAACCACCAACGAGAATATTGAATTAAAGAAAAAAAGTAAAGGAAGTGAAACTTCAAACTTCCATTAAAAATTCTTTTTTAAAAAGGTTCGCGAGATCAGAATTTACTCTTCTGCTGAATTTTTCGTGGCAGATTTTTTTCAACGAGAGTAATAATCTCGAGCATAACCGAATCGACCGGATCCAGGATGTCAGTGTCCGGTGTCCGCGGCCGGAAGTGAGCTGTGGCGAACGGATACAGCTAGTCACGTGTCTCGTTGCGTGGTATTACGTCACGAGAACGAGATGAAAAAAGGGCAGCTGGAAAAATTGAGTACCATCCTTGTACGATATATTTTAGGAATTTAAAGCCATTTTTACAAGCTTGGTACGATTGAATCTGCATCGATCGTGTTTTATTTATCGATTTCCCGTGGATCGTTTTCTATTCGTTTGTTTTCATTTCCGTGTTTTCAAGCATGAAACTGGTGAAGAATTATGAGAAAAAATGTGGCTGTCATCGAAGGGAGAATCTGTTCGTTTCTCTGACAAGATTGAAAGTAGAGGAGGAAGAATGTCGACAGTTCGAGGTCGATTCAAAGTGAGCTTTAAACGATTAATTTAAACGTTAATCACGATAGTTAACCTGTAATTGGGACGAACGGGATAGGTCGACACTCGGTTTTTCCACGTTTGAGTGGTTTCCTCGAGAAATTACGGTGGATTAATTCGAGGAGAGCTGGGCTCTTTGATGATCGAACGAGAGGAACTCGATTCCGCACGTTTGCCTTCCTCGAAATCGCTGCTTTTTCGCTCGTTCCGGCGCGATGCGGCGATAAAGCGTAATTCTTCGTTGTTATCGAGCGACGCGACCTTCTGTACACCTCGAAATTTACATGAAACTGGTACGCTGCCACATTTTTATCGCGATCTCTCGGTCGGGCGCAAATAATCTCGGTCAATGATTAATTCAACGAAATTCGAGTTATCGTTTAACCTGTTTCCTCTTTCAAATTGCTTTCGTGCTTTGCTTTCAAATCCTCGCGGGGAAAATTGAAAAGGTAAATTCGATTAATCCACGCGCATTCGAACGTGACTCCTTTCACAAAACGATGAAATTTTACAAAAATTTCAATTGCCATTGGTGGATAGGAAAATCCTGTTGGAAGCTTGTATAATCGGTTCATCGATGTCGTTGCCGTGAGTTGGCGGGAAAATGTACGGTACAAGGTACAAGCTGTATCAGGGGGGAAGTTTTTCTACGCGCTTTCGAACGATGTCTCGTTTCCAGCGAACAATTTATACGCGACATCAAACGCGGTGACCAGTTACAAGACCGAACGACCGTGAACACAATGCACCGGCAATTTATTACGATATTATTCGACGCGATCGCCGTGCCAATAAATATCACGATACGACCAGAATTTACCCATCGATGTGGCGAACTTTGAAATTCGATTTTCTCTGCACAACCCTCGAACAAACCTCGAAACGCCATATTATCCCTAATCATCCCTCAAATCCCATGACTATAAGAATAGTCCCAAAAATATTCTGTAAAGATTTTCACCCCTGAAAAAAAATCAATCTTTGTGCCCCTAAATCTGATGTGGAGGAAGGACAACTAATTAACCAAGTTTTTTCCATTATGTTCGCGTTCCAGGTACAAAGCGAATCGTTGCGTGAGCGGGGGCGGTGGCCGCGGAAACGGTGCGACTGGCGGTACCGGAGGCGGTCTAGGTAACGGAGGCAGCGGCCGCGGAGGCGGCGGGGGCGGCAGCCCCGGTAGGGGCGGAGGAGGAGGAGGAGGAGGCGTCGGCGGAGGCGGCGGCGGAGGAGGCGGAGGAGGAGGAGGAGGAGGAGGAGGTCGCGGTGGAGGAATAGACGGTGGCGCGGTGCCTGCTGCAGCACCACCGACCGTCGGCCATTACCACCACCACCACCACCATCACCATCACCATTATCATCATCTCGTCACCACGACCACCACGACTAACACCACCACCACCACTGGCGTCACCAGGCATCTTAGGCACAAGCTACCCCTCGGCAAGCAGTGCCTCGAACACCGTCATCAGCACCGGCATCACCATCGGTCCCCCTATCGGGCCTTAAACATGGGCCAAAAGATTTCAGGTTAGGACCACGATGATGATACTGATGGTGATGATGATTTCTCCCGTTTATTCTCGCGAATGAAGGTAGGGATCTATGTTTCGGATAGGATCAGGATAGAATCAAGGTAGATTATAGTTGCTTCGAATGACATTTATACTTGGATAGATTTCGAGTACTTTAGTCAATTTATTTATCAGCTTTGAACGTACAAAGTTTCATTCGACCGAAATAGTTGGTCGGTTTTATTTATAAACTCAGGGATGATCAGGTGTCTACAGGTTGCGAATGAAGAAAGAAGCTAATGAATATTACAGTCGATTTCCTTGCTCGAAGCGCAGTCACGTCACACGATATAACGCTCGCGAGATTAACTTTAGAAGGTTGATTCACCTCGTCGAGCTTCGTCCAGGGTCAAGGCCTTTGAATGCTCTCGATCTTACCTGCCCGTTCAGGTAGAAGCTCGAACAGGTCCTTCAGACTCTATCCTCTGGCGAGGAACGTGCTGTGGTAAAACCGTACTCTTATAAATCGTCCCATTAATCTTATTTTAAACAGCCTTCATTCGCTTTTAAACGAAAGGGATTAAATTGTAATATAGAAGATGGAAATAGAATTTCCCAGACGAGAAATTGGGAATAGAGTTAAAATAGAATAATCATATCGTATTAATGTGTCCTTAATGCGTCCATTTTCACGGTGGCAGTCAACGGTGTTAATCAATTTCATCGATCGTTTGTGCCCATCGCTCGCGTCCGTCTCTCATGATTTACGCTGGCCATTTGCCCACTTCCGGCGGTGCATTCTGTCTCTCGATGACACGACCCTGTGCGACGTTCTGTTCTCCGCAGCCATGCTACTCGTCTTTTGGGGAAAATTTGTCGTCCAGAACCGCGGTCGATTTGCAGTTCAGCTGCAACCACGAAATTTACGAGTCTCGGATATATTGTGAAAAGGACATAAAAAAAACGTAGCCCAGACCCCAAAACCCGCAGAAAGGAGAACGGTGTCGGACAAGGTCGGAAAAAAAAAAACAACCACGAACGTGTCGAACCCGAAGGAGAGGATCGTAGGGTCGGCGCAGACCGGATACAGACAAGACCGTGAAAGGGCCCTTCTTAACCAGTGCCCTTCGGCTTTTCGGGCAGGAGAGACCCTTTGAAATCCTCCCGGTCCTTTCCAGAACCCCTCGTTTTAGGACCCTCTCGAACGCTAGCGGCGGGTAACAGCTGCCAGAGCAAATAAACCCAACATCCAAGGATATCGCCCTATGTTCGTTCGACCCTAGGTTAAAAGAAGGACCAAGAAGGCAAGCCGTTGAATTTTCAACAATCTACACTGGCTGGACAAAAGCCAAAATTTCGGTTGATTCGAAAGATTTGTAAGAAAAAGTTGATAAATTGATTTTATACATAGTAGAGTTCACCACAAAGTATCTCTCCAGTAGTTATTCCTTAAAATCTTAGAGTCTTAGCTTTCGAGTAGGATAAATTTTCAAATGTGCAAATGGGTGCAACTCAGTTTTTAATATATTCTTTATAAAATAATATTTAAGATGAAAATAATATACGAGATTTTCCTCCAGCTAACTCCTATCTCTCGAAACAGCCTACGAGACGATCCTTCGTAAACCTTAAACTCGAGCCTGCTGCGGCCAGGGATGGGTCAGACCCTTCATTATTTTTCTTCCACTCTTTTTTCCCTGTTCCACGGCAAATCTTCCCCTCGGTGTTGGTGCGTAGCTGGCAGGTACCCGACCGCACGATGAATCCCTCAGACGCATCCTGAATTATTAACGACCGCGTGGAAATGTAGCCTGAAGGGAGATTCGGCGATCCTCGAGAAGGATCATGAATCCTCACGGTTCATCGTTGCAGATGGATTGACTTTTCAAAGAGCATTCCTCTCGTTTATGAGAAATCTGTCCATACCTTTCTCACGAAAGTTTTACTTTAAAGTGGGCACGTATCCTTAGGTTTGTTACATTAGGTGAATAGCTGACGTTAGTGATAGGGGAGGCGAGTGATGGGTGAAATTATTATTCCAAATCTTCTCTACTCTATCATCTATTTCTTAGACAATTATGCGAATATATAGAGGACGTCCTGTTTCCTGCAGGCGGCGTGAAAAGCGTGACACGCGAGGCTGCAGCTGGAACAGTCGGTGGAGTGAGCGTCGGCGGTGGCGGCGTGGTAGCGTATAAACCAGTGGTACCCAGAGAGCTGGCGCAACATTTCGCAAGGCCACCACGGCTCGATGTTCTGTTCGACATGCCACCCGCCTCGCGGGAGACGCAGATTCATCACAGCTGGAACGCCAACGATCGTAGCCTCAATATATTTGTCAAGGTACCAGTCTGAATCAATCGAAATTTCTTCCTTAACCCTCTGCTGGGTGTTCCGGATTCAATGCAAATCGTTGCTCTCAAACGTTTCAGGATGACGACAAGTTAACGTTTCATCGGCATCCCGTGGCCCAGAGCACAGATTGCATAAGGGGGAGGGTGGGATACACGAAAGGTATGCACGTATGGGAGTTGTTTTGGAGCACGAGGCAAAGAGGCACGCATGCCGTGGTGGGCGTCGCGACGGCAGAGGCACCGCTTCACAGCGTCGGTTATCAAAGCCTGGTCGGCAACAACGAACAAAGCTGGGGTTGGGATTTAGGTAGAAATAAACTTCTTCACGACTCGAAGAACAATACCGGTATCACGTATCCGGCCTTACTCAAACCCGACGAAACGTTCATCGTTCCTGATAAATTCCTTGGTAAGCATCGATTAATCTGTACGAATCCAATCGCAATATACTTTTCAAGGATTATAACTGACCGGCGAGCTGGGTGTATTCTGTTTCCAGTGGTCCTGGACATGGACGAAGGTACGTTAGCGTTCGTCGTGGACGGTCAGTACCTTGGCGTTGCGTTCAAAGGACTCAGAGGCAAGAAGCTACACCCTATCGTTTCTGCTGTGTGGGGACACTGCGAGATCACGATGAAATACATCGGTGGACTTGATCGTAAGTATCGATGGAATGGTTGGAAATGAATTTCGTGGAAATCCTGAAATTTATTCATGATTGTCGGTTTGGTTACAGCCGAACCTTTGCCCCTCATGGACCTCTGTCGAAGAGTAATTCGGAAACGAATCGGCAAGGAGAAGATAGAAGAAAAGGTGAACGCTTTGAGCCTACCGTTAGCATTGAAAACTTACCTCCTGTATCGCGACAGGAGGTAACCACCGAACGGTATCTTAAAGGAAACCACCACGATCGCGATTGTGAACACCACCGCGCTATTATTATACCGTTGCCACCACGACGCACAGGGGAACGCCCGCTACCCCGTCGCCAGCCACCGAGCACAACAGCCCATAAGCCGCTTCTACGATCTATGGTGTTTGTATCCGTGTCGTCAGGATAATAAGTCAAGACGAGCAACAACAACGTCACGATACCTAGCTTGGTCGATGATTCGTACCTTGTTCTTGTACTCGTGTTCGTTATACTCGTCGTCATCGTTGGCATGCTCATCGTCGTCGTCGTCGTCGTCGTCGTCGTCGTCGTCGTCGTCGTTGTCATGTTCATTATCGTCGTTGTTGTTAATAACCTGATCGTTTATTCGTCGTTGTCGTTCTTGGATACGATCGAACGACGCTTTCACACGGGGACAAGAAAAGAAGAACATAAAAAACGCGGAACACACGCACGAGCCGGTTATATAAATATATATATTGTATATCGGGTCTAGCTAATTATTTAGGTGATATTGTTGTCTTGTGTTAAAACGTCTTGCACGATTAAAATCGTGACGAAGTCTTTATTGATTGTTAAATAATTGAAACAGAGCACGGTACTCGTATGCGATTTGGGGTATCATCTCTCTTTTTTTAGTTCGATAGCTTTTTCGCGTATTTTCGCTCGACGCTGGCTTGTCTGTCTGTTTGTCTATTTTCTCCTTTGAATTGTTGGAAAAAAGGAACGCGTTCTGTGTGTGGCGAAGAATACCGGATGGAAGATCGAAGATCCAGATTTAATATGGGCTATAGAAGATACGCGCGTGGCTTGAGCGAAGGATGAAAATCAATGAAATGATCACGAAGAAAAAATCAACGAACAGCGCTTCAAACAGAGTTGGCCAGTAAAAAAAAGTAACGCGTTAGACTTAGTTAGAGTCTGAAGGCTGATACAGGCAACGTTTCGATGATTAGTCAAACAATGGGTAGCGGGCTCCTTCTAGTCCGGCCACTGCGCGAATAATTAATCACGAAGACGATGAACAGCAGCAACAGCAAGAAAATTAAACGATGTATTTAGAGCGAAGAGAAATTACCGAAGCGGATTCTTGAGTGGAGAACAATTTGTCAGATAGAAGAAATGTGTACAGTGATGTAAAAGCCAGCCGATTCGAACAGCCACCTTCCAATAGACTCATTTTTCAAGTATTTTCTAAGCATGCTAGATCTAACGAAAAAAGAAAAAAAATTATAGTGATGTGTATGAATCGTGGATGGACACGCGATGTCGAACGAAAGGGAGAACGTCAAGATGATTCGTTTTAATGAACGCGCCTCCCGAATTTACGTGTTCTTCTTCTTTTTATTTTCTCTTCTGTTCGTTAGAGATCCCGCAAACGATACGTATCGTAGCCTAGAAACAAATTGCAAACGAAGACAACGGTCAATGAAATGCACCACCTTCGAAGGGTTTGATTTTGAACCAGCAGCGAGAGACAAACACGAATTACCTCGAATTATGTTAATTGAACACGATCGAAACGAAGATTAAACGTACGTAGTTAAACTTTAGGGCGAGCAAACGAACGAATTACCACGGGGCATATGGCTGAGAAATATTCCAAACACGAATTAAAACTGTCGACAGAGATAAAAACGATAGCTGCGACACAGTGTATATGTGTGTGTACGCGCGCGCCCGCGTTTATACGCGTATTATTCGATACGAACTACGGCGACGATCCAGACGATCATTACTGAGGATGATGATAACGATGATGATTATGATAATGATGATAATGATGATAGCAAACGATTATAAACGGGCGTGTTGCTACCTATAACTATTAGCATGACAAATTATGACTGGTCCCTAGTAACTCTTTAATCTTACGTTTGTCGCTTAAGTTTAATGATAATGTGCCGATATCGGCGATGTCGATTTGTACATAGGGTATAATTATAATAATGATAATAATAATTATAATAATAATAATAATAATAATAATAATAATAATATCTATCGGTACAACAATGAATGTATTGTGGGTAGTGATTGTATCCAAGACCGTAAGAACGAACCGAATGCGAGAGAAGAAAAAAAAAAATCAATTTTATCGTCGTGCAAAATGCAGAAGCAAAAAACGCTGTCGTATTCTTCTTATTCGATTTTAAACAAGTTTTTAAGTTTATTGCATGATACCACGCATTGTTGTTCATTCTCCTCGACCGAGTTCCATCGGGACTCGCATCAAGAACGCGTCTTCCAAATTGCCTGATCGAACACACACACTAACACACACATATACTTGTTCAATTTTTACGATTTTCTTTTATCTCTCTCTCTCTCTCGCTCTCTTTGAAACGTACCATAGATACAATTAAGAATCAGTTTTGCTAGCAATTCCCGAAAGACACGCACGATCTCGCAATCGGCAACCGTTGCAAGTATCTTGCGGTCCTCAATACTACGCACACCCAATTGCTGTCTGTTAGCAATGTTCGCCTTCGTAATCTTTGCTCGATTCTTGAACGGAGATGTAGAGCAAAATAAATAGAAAGATTCGCGGTGAATCAAAGAGTAGGAGGAGGAGATATGAGCGAACGAACGAGCGCCGCGATTATGCGAAGCCAATCGAGCAGAAACAAAACGCTTTGTCGACGGTCGTCGTCGAAATGAACCGGTTAACGTCACCACGGCAGATTACCGCGTGTGTTTTATCGACGTCTCTTCTCGTCGCGAGAAACTGCTCGAAACCCTCTCTCGATTTGCCGACGAAAGCAGAGAAAAATGAAGTAAACTCTTCTCGTTTGCATTAAGAAGAAGAAAAAAAGATGTTTCCGGGTAGAATTAAACAGACAAAGCACGTAAATAAGCGAGTAAATCGTATTAAGGGTTAAAGAACACACCACACACATACACACTTGTAGAAAAGATACATACGAAGTTACGCATTGTGGACGCGCGTTTTAAAATGAAAGTGAGAAAGAGAAAGAAAGGGAAGAAAGTGAGATTTCACAGGCGCAGAAAAGATGGTACACTTTTCTTTTCTGTGGAATACACTTTCCATCTATTGATATCGTCGTGTGCTGTAACTATTCTCTATTTTATTGTAATACGAATGAATCCCTTTTTTTTTTTGTATTTTTCATTTTTCTTTGTGCGCGTGCCACGTTCCAAGCATGAGACAAGGACAAAAAAAGAAGAGTATATAGCGTTTAGAATGTTGTATATATTATTAATTAATGATTAATATTAATATTATTGTATCGGCTCCGATAGTTTAATTGGTGAATATCACGTTAGTCGGCATAATTGTGGATTCTGTTTTTTTCTACGATAGGGAAGACGATCTATATTATATTACGCGATCGATCGATTGACAGTGTTTTGGATCGTGAAAAATTAACCGGGCGGATTTGAATAACGTTTATTTTTTTTTCGCGTGAGAATATTTTATTCAAAATCGTTATCGATATTTCGAACGGAGCATTGATAGATTACGAGGCGAATAAAGCAAGTGAAAAGCAACGAAACGTATTTTAATATCGACGCGTATTGATTTTTTTCTTTTTAAACATCGTTTTATCTCGTCTAGTATATAACTTGTTTTATTTTTTTATTTTCAAAGAGTTTCTTGTTTTGTTTTTCATTTAATTTTTGATTTTACTTGCCCCTGTCATTTGCGTGAATTACTTCGCACGTAAAATTGTTTGTTTTATTTTTTTATTTTTCATTGTAATTGAACGACACCTTTCCGGGTCGAATCGACTTTACATCCATTCGATAACGTATTTTTATTTGTAGCTCGACACGAGGTTCGATCGACCCAAAGACGCGACCGAGTTTCACTCGATCAATTTTTTTTTTATAATTAAATTTTCAATTTCATTGACACTTTACGATTTCTTTATGTCTTCGAATCAGCGAATTTTTATGTAGAGAACTATCACATTCTGAATTATCAAGACGTTAAATAATTACTGATTGTGGGAATACGTTTCATTTTCCAATCTATACTTTCCGCTCATTACCTTAATCATAGATAACCGATCACTCGATCGGTCGATCGATCGTGCGACACGAAAAGTACAGTAAAAGCCTTTTTGCTCATCATCATTGAAGTTGAATGCGACGACGTTCGATTCGTTCGCATCTGTCGCGAGAAAACGAAATGAAGAAAAAGAAAATCATAGAATGAGTGTCTCGAAATGTTTTTTCGCGAACTGACTGCCTGTTGTGCAAACAAAAAAAAAACTACGTTGCCTCGACAAATGTGTCTAATTTATTGACGACGCGATTATTATCAGGACCTTTAAGCTGCGTGCAAGTGATAACGAAAGATAACCGCGTGCGTGTGCGTGTGTTGACAAGAGAATGAGTGAAGAGAAAGAGAAGGGGGAGATCTGGTATACCGGGTGGTCTTCGATAAAATTCGTTCTTTCTCCGTTAATTTTTTTTTTTAAACAAACGAACTTGCGAATTTTAGCTGAAATTTTAGATAACACGCGATAATTGTCGCGTCAGTCGACAGGGGATGAAAGAAACTGATGTTAACGAGAGACCATTTCCGGGAGATCCGTCTTCGCGAGCGTGTCTCACGCGACGTTCTTCTTTTCCTCTTGTGTATTTTGTTTCTCCGAGATAAAAAAATGAAAAAAAAAAAAATAATAATAATAAGCCTGGACTATTTGCAACGAGCGATCTCACGTCTATTTAAGCATAAGTTTACGAGTTTAGCGTGGTGTATTTGCTGTATAGCGGCGAGTGAACGCGAAGAAAATTTATAAATATGTAATGCCTTAATGTTCTATCGATAAATAATGGATAGCGTTACTTTATAATTAGTTGTGACGCGATTAAAATGGAAGAAAGGAAACGACACGATATAGGATTCAAGAGAATGAAATGAAATGAAATGATTGTGAGGAGCGAAACGAACGAACGAACGAACGAAGAAAACGAGCAAGCATAACTGGAGAGAAATATATGGACAGACAGAGCAAGATTAAATAAAAGGAGTGTGCAGTAGGTGGTGACCGTTTGTCTCCATTCTGTTCGTGATTTGATATTTTTTTATAATTCAAACGACGAGAGAGAACGACTGGAGAGAAGAAGCGAGTATAAATGGAGCGTGTATAGAGAGCGGACTGCTATCTAAAATAGTTCAGGCTAGATGTCGATGTTTGTAGCAGATAAAGGACAAAAAACACAACACACAGCATATTGTAATTAAAATTAAAAGTCATTAATACCGCCCGCTTTTTCATTCGTCCGTCGAACGTGTACCGACTTCCACTACAAACCTCAAGGTATTATTTCTTCATACTGTCCCACGTTTTATTTTTTATTCTAACAATGTTTTTTCTTTTCAATTTTAGTCATTCTCTTTGCGTATCGTGAGACGATCCTGTCTTTCGACGATCCTTCAAAGGAGGCGATTGATCGCAAGCTCTATAAAGCACCTCGCAATCCTCGCCACGTATCCCAGCTTCACCCGCATCTTCCACCAGCCGATCCCAACCGGAGGTTGATTTCAAAGACTTCCCTACGCTTCGTCTGAAACATCGTGCAAACGATACGCTATAGAATTCGCTTATCTTTCTTCGAGGAAGAGGCGAAAGAATCTTTAATATTCCACCATCGTGTGCAGATGACATTTCCGGAAATAAGAGCCAGACACGTTCGAGTGTCTGATCCAGATTCCATTTCTCTCGAGACAACGCTCGGAGGGATATTAAATTTTCAAGACGCGTCGGGACAGAAAACAATAAGAAAAAAAAAAAGTGGAACTCACGTTAAGTACTTGGCCAGTACTTTACCAGCTGCGCCAAATGCTTTTAAGAGCTTTCGATTTTCCAGGCAAACTGTTCTCTGTATGCAACGTATCCTGGCGTCTTCGTTCAGAACGTCTTCCTGTTCCGGTGTCTGTGAAAGCAGAAGGTTATCAAGGATTTCTTCTTTTTTATTTTCAATTACTCAACTAAATCGAATTTCCAAGCGTTGCTTAATTTAAAAAAATGATTCTTTTACCACAGAATTATAACCATAAGCTGCGTAGAGCTCCCTCTTCCTCCTGGCCGACAACACATCCGTCAACATGTCTCTCCTCTTCACAGTCGCGATTGTATTCTGAATCACAGCGAACAGCAAAAGCAAACCGATGAAGCTAACGATGACCAGCTGCTTTGAAGATGGTCCAATTGGATAATCGATCGAATGCGCCACAGGATAGCCAAAATATGGATGATCGTACACGTAAGGGACGCTGTCGCTTCTGTGATGAACGAACGTTCTTTGAGGTACTGGAAAGCATAACATCGTTACGAACGATTTCTCTTCCTTTGATCATAGCCTCGAAGAGGGAAACTTTACCAGGGAGAAAATGATTAGGCGGTACAGGAGGGTGATGCAAGATCGGCTCTGGTGGACGCGCAACATCCGGTCGAAGAGTAGCCTCCATTTTACTCGATGCTTCTGTGGTAGAAGCATTCCCGACGAACTGATACTGAGCCTCGATTAAATTGATTAATATACCCAATACTGGTAAAACTCTTACTATGGAAGAGAACATTTTTCTTATTATTTTTATTTGATTAATTATCAGAGTGTCACTTGCGTTTCGTATAGATGTTCACTGTGTACGTTTCAATGAAAAACGGATGAATTATGGTGCCCGACTGACAGAGGGTCGACTGGCACCGTGATCTTAAGAAGGTCGAGAAAAGAATAGCTTCGTGACGTTGGCAATTCGATCCTAAACGAACCGGTGAAAAATGTACGGGCAATTTTCTGAATTGCCGCCCATCATTCGGCTCGCTGAGCTACGGCTTCACGGTGGAAACCTGCTGCTTTTTATTCTCCTAAGTAGACGTCGTACACTGCGTGCACCCTGTAATGGCTACCCACGACTCGTGAAAGAATGTTTTATTTTCTTGTTCGAAAACGTGCTTCTGTACGAGGTGAAACGACGTCGACGGTTTCTAGGTAACTTTCTTTTTATGATATTATTTTTTTTATTACATGGAGATGGTTAGATTTTATCAAACAAAAAATTATGATCTCAGCCTCTTTTTCTTTTTTTTTTTTTTTTTGAGTGAATATTATTTACTCTTTGAATCTTAAGTCGATCTTAAGATTTGACGAGGAAACAGCTGACTCGTTGCTAACCAGACAGACAGAGCGAAGAACATCATCCCCTTTAGTAGGGCTCCAGACAGACGAACCCTCTAGGCAACAGCCCTCGACCGTCCCATCGCCATAGCAACCCCTTGGATTCAGCAACCAACCTAACCAACCGATTTACCCACCTCCTAGCGTTGTTCGTTGTTCGAACATTTACATCAAACACACTTCTCCCTTTTTTTTCCTTCTTTGTACTAGAAATCAGGCAACCCTTTGTTTCTTCTACGCGTACACCTGTGTACTGTGTGCCATTGTTCGGCTTATCTTTCATTTTTCGAAACGGAGAACATAACGTTATCCTTCTTCTTCAGTTATTAGAAACATCAGAGTGTTGAAAAGTTTTCGTGAACTTTAACGAGGTAATCATAAAATGAAAAAAAAAAAATTGTACAAGTGTACCAACATCTCGTTAAAGTTTTCTGGTAGCTCTGTTCTACGATACTGTGTTGGAAAATCATGTTCCCAAAGATTTAATGAGAAGAACGGCTCGTGAAAGCTGCCTCGAAGAACTGAAAGGTCCTGAGGTGACTTTGAACAAGCCATGAAACGATCTTCGTAACTTTTCCATATCGTCCTTCCACAGTGTTGCTTCTCCGATGAAAAACGTCTGATTACTTCTACCTCGATCTACTTACCTGATCGCTTCGTTAATTTTCTTCCATTAACTTTCGACAGTCAGCTCGTGCTGCTTGGCTCGAGGATCCGTGTCGCAGGTTACTTACCCAACCAACTCGACACCTTCTATTAGCGCCAATAAATTCTCGCTGCAAACTTTCTACACCCTAGATGACACGTTTTCCTTAGGCAGCGAACCGTACTATATCCTTGGGACTGCGGGTTCTTTCAAAGCGACCGGGAAAATGGAACATCTATGTTCTCGTTGCATTATAAATAGCCCTTCTGCGTTACATTTTTCCCTTTTTTTATATAGAACTCAGTCTATACGAGTGTGGGTCTTGTGAAATGTAGCAAACAATCAGTTTCGTTGAAATTCAATTCATTTCATCTTTATAAAATTTTTTCACGTAATCAGATGATTTCTAGTGGATGATCCAGGGATAGTAAATTTCGTCCAGATCGTAATCTCTGTTTTAAAGCTCATCGTCTGCTCGTCATAAACGTTCAAAAGTGTTCTTCGAAGTATTTCAGTAGCAATTCGTCTTGGCTAATTCGCAAAGCAGACGTCTTGGCGTCTAAAGGTCCATCGAGATGACTCTGGTCGGACGTTGCCAGTTTATTGTGAACGCTAAAGGCTGGCGGGGGTTGTTTTTTTTTTTTTTTTTTTTTTATTTTCCAAAGGCGACTATGGGTATCGGGGTCACATCGATAGACAAGCCGCGTGAACGAGCCCGTGGTTTCACGCCAACGCGACGCGATCAAGTATTATATTTTTAGTACGCTTTTGCAACGACCGCCCTACGCTCTCAGACACCTTACTCTCGGCGACTTTTTATCACGGTCCAATCGAGACCGCTTGGCCTGCAATCAGAGCTTCGTTAGCAGACCTTTATGCTGCCCGTGCTCTATACCCCGAACGATTTTGCCCGCCTTTCTTCAGCCCTTTCATTCGATTTCCACCGTTCGACCGTTCGTGTATTTTGACCGTTTTATTTTCGTCCACGACCCACTCTGCCTCGCAATTCGCGAGAAAATTAACGACCACGATTGGAAGTGACTTGTCTTAATTTCGTAGGGTGCTTTTATGACATCCGAAGAGTAGGAAATTTAGAAAATTGAGCCACTACACCCTGCGTCGACTGAAAACAAAAACAAGAATATAGAAACGATCCAATTGCAATAAGGAAGTAATTACGCTTATCCAGACGTTCTTCCTAGGAAGGAGACATTGATTTCCTTCGAGCGACCGGAAACGGGTTGCAGGGATCATAGTCGTACTTTAAAATTCAGCTTTCCTCAAGCTGTGCCAAAAGTAATTTTACTTTTCTGCTTGTTTCTCTTTACACTCGACTGTTGCGAAAGTTTTCGAACGAGATAATCATGATTTCAAAAGTACATCAAATTAATGGATAATTCGTGTTTATTCCACTTCCATGGGTGCTCTGGAAACGTTGGATCGGTTGCTTGTTAAACTTCCGACGCAAGAAATACCGACGTATATTCTTTTTTTCGACGAAACTCCGGTACGCTGGTTTAATTAATTGGAGGGTTCTCCGTATCGCGTCTGACTCGTGGCGGGCTTTACTACTTGCTGGCACGCAACCAGCCCGTGTTTCGTCGTCGAACGATTGACGTCGAATGTTTCACTGAGAAATTGAAGAACCTTCTCGACAGACATTCTACTTTATCTCTGGTACATGATATCTTTATTCTTTATTTATATAATTTCGTTCTAGTCAATAGAAGTTTGTAAGAACTTGGTGCTTCAAATTCAGTGATACAAGTCAGCGATACGTCAGACACGTGTAATTTTCTCTACTTCCAATCGTGTTACCTACATTTAACGTACCAGTATCATAATTAAATAAGTATTTCTATGAAATTTCGAAGCTACCAGCAACAATTTATACAAATTTTTCACACGAATTTTTCAAACCCATCGAAACTCTCGGATCCGATCGCGAAGCTCGAAAGGATAAACGCTTTTCCGTTCTCATATTAATGGAATCCATGTATACAGAAATCCGGTGCAACTTTAGGGGACGTTGGGAGGAACCTCTCGGAGGATCCATTCGGGTCAGGCAGCCTGGGAAATCCTTTAAAGCTGAGAGATCCCGGTGATTCCGTTTCCACGCCGACCTGTTTACCTTCTCCTTCAGATCTTTCAATTTTTCATCTTCTTCAAAGAATCATCCCGAGATCAAACGTTCGTAATTGTGTGTTTCAACAGTTGTTCGAATGATTGTTACGATGAATCCACGAGTTACAAAATTTAATCATTGTACAGTTTCCAAATTGTGGATTCAACGTCTTGAAGAGCATGTATCTTGCATGCAGAGAAACTCACGTTTCTTTCATTTCGTTTCCTGGTTCGTGGAGGGTCAACTTGGAACGTGTTTAATATGTAAAACGAGGGGTGCTCGCTTTAATGTTGCACCTTCTGGCGCACCGAACTTCCTGCCCTCTTGAATGATAAACGTACTCCGGCAGGATTAAGGTCCATTTGTGTGATCGCAAAAGCAAACTGACGTTAGTTTACTATTTTTATAATGCTTGGCTTCTTTTTGAACAAACCTCCATGTATCGGTGAAAATATTTTATAACTGGCTAAATTGATTCGTCCTCGATATAAAATAGGTGCTAAATTGATCTTCATAAAAATTCATACGTCATCCAAATATGGATTACGTAGCTTTAGAAGTGATGTAACACCGAATACTCGTGCAAGATTAACGAGAGCATCGAGACAACCCGTTTCAGCCTTCAGAAACGCGTACATCTTTAACGCATCGACCGGGTCATTCAGCTCGGTGTAGCTTCGAAATTTCTCCGTTCTCGGTGGCTTCAACGACGAACCTTGTAACAGTTTCACCCGTCTGTGGCTGGCAATTCAGATTCTCGGCGAAAGTGGAACTCGAGAAACCCGGGATAGGTTTGTCGTTGATGGTAGAAAGACCGAAATTCGAGCAACGGTAACCGTGAAGGATGGCAGATGACTGAAAGCCGTTACCGATGCACCGGCCGTGAATAATTGCGCGAGGATTGCTTTCCAACTAAAACCGAAATAACTTTCATCGCCTAAGGAGCTGTTAAACGAGAGGAAAGATCAATACGCGTTAGCGAACTTCGTCCATGGATTCGACGTTTAACAAAAGGATTGGTCAAACCAGAGAGTTTGTAATTCTATTTTTAGAGTACTTCTTTATTTTTCAATATCCTTAAACGAGGATGTCACTCGATTAGATTTTTCGATCACGTCGAGTACCGCGTTCGTTTTACCTGAATGTTAAGTGGAACGTTAATTAGCGCGTCGTTGATCGATGAAACTGCCCTAATAGGGTTTTCTTTCTCGCTTTTTTTCCGTACTCTTCTATCTTCTCGGGTTAATCAGGAGTTTTCTGCGTGATGCTAATAATTATACCTCGCAGATATTTTCAACCTTGTTTTCCCTGTAACCCGTCAAAACAATTAGCCCAGCATTGACAAAAAAAAAAAACAGAATTCGAAATTCGTTTTTGAGAAGGAAAAGTAATATTTATTCCACTAATTCACACCGAAAGTGTATTCATACGCGAAGTGTAATAATATCATGATCTTCTATGAAATTCTACGAACGACGATGTTCCTCGATTTCTAAATTCATCGAATACAAGGAACGTTCGCAGAACCTAACCAACATGAATGGTTGTTCCACGAATTGTACGTTTTACAATGAAGAGCGTAATTGAGTTGCACGCAGCCATTATTTAGAGCCTAATTAATTTTAAACTCCTACGTCTGACTTATGCTCCACTTAGCCACTTCTAGGTACTCAAAAATTGATCTGCACATCTCGAAACAATGACGCGTTATTATAATATAACGCAATTTTGACTATGACGGGAGGTCCAAGTATCATGGTGTCACCTTTGGGGTCGTTACTGCGAGTCAGTGGAATGTTCCCATGGGACATCCTACATACAGTTTCACCTGCCTCTACGCTTCATTTATCTCCGCGTAATTCTTCAACAGACTTATTTAATGGTGTCTCGAGTTCCATGAAAAAGATACTGTGTCGTTTCGTGTGCCTTCCTTTTTTCTCATCTCGTTATTAATAGAATTATGTTTTAAGGTTTCGTTTAATGTATGGTATAAATTGAAGACTCGAAATTCAATAATAAATAGGAACTTTATTTTTTGATCATTTTTACATTGAACAGTACAATTCATATCATTACGTGGTATCTTTGATCCGAGACGCAGATCCGTATACTCTGTAAGCTGGGTCGTCAAAGATGAGAAGATACAAGGAAAGCCGCAAAGCTGAGGCATAAAGTTGTTCGACCGGTTGAAAACCGCATAGCGGGAAGCAACCCCTCCACACGGGGCTGTTCTCCAACAAAGTAGAATCTCGACCTACGTTCAGGTCTCGCGGTCGCTTCCGGCCAAACATTCGCGCAAGGATTGCAGTGAGAGGCGAAGAGAGGGTGGCTCTGTTCCTGTAAATTCGACGAGGAAACGTCCACGACGGTAACGAAAGAAAAGTTTTGGGGCGTATGCGGTCGGTGTTGTGACTTAACCCGTCTTCGTTTCACCTTCGAGTCTTGTTTCTTCACCCTTCTAACAGCACCGAGACTGTTCTCTTTCTCTCTCTCTCTCTCTCTCTTGATTTCCACCCCCGTAGAATCGACGTTGCGCGTTTATCGAACGACTGCGCGCGCACGGATAAGCGGAGATGGGGCGTGCTACGTGTTGGTTGGTTGCAGAGAAAGCGGCGGTGGACGAACGAACAAGAGGAGCGAAGAACGACGACGAGGACGAGGACGGCGACGGCGACGTCGGCGAAGACGGCAGCCAACAGACACGAAACGAAGCTCGCCGCGCCACTGTTTCTTCAAGCTCTGCCAACACGCTAAGCGTTGTCAACAATTGACAGCTCGAGTGTCGCGAGCGTGCTGAGTCAAAGTTCGAACGGTTCGTCAGAAAAATCGTGTTACATTTCGCGGAGGGATCAAAGCAGAAGGGTGTTTTGCTACGAGGCGAGGTAAACAAAGAGAAGTTTCGATGCGAAGAGGGTCACTCAGAGTGAACGTTATCGTGGATTGTTTGTTGTTAGCTGGTATCCGGAGGAAGATAATATTCGTTGGAGAAAACACAGCGAAGTGATTTCGGAGTGCAGCGAGAGAGTGCGTCGAGTGGTGCAGCAGGAAGAGATTTGGAGGGATCGTGAAGATTTGTGACCGGGGACAGGGGTGGTCTTTCGTCCATTCGAAAGTAGGGAGGAAAGATAGACGGATAATCCGGGGAGGTAAATTGGTGTGTAGCTTCTGTATTTTCCGTTCGCTTGGTTCAGTCTATCTCCGTGAGGCGGAGAGGGTGGCGAGGCATCGATCGCTCGCCATTTTGCACCGCCGACCGACATCTTCTCCACGCATCGACGACATTTTCTTCCCTCGTGACGGCTACCTCGAGGAGGGAAGTTGTCGCGAGCGGATGAACGAACGATTCCACGGGGAAAAGGGTGTGCGCCGATTGTACTGTATTATTTCGTGAACCTGTTCCCTTGGTTTATCGATCCCAGCTACATACGATATTACGTTCGAGACTTTCTCGAGATTTAAGAAGGTGCGCGTTCTAATTGAAGGGTGTAGTTGACGAATCCGAATCCGAAGAAGAAGAACAGAGAATAATAAAATTCGGGGGAGGAGGCAGATAAAAGAGGAGGAGAGGGTCGCTCTGGTGGAAAGGTAGAAGTCAGCAGGCTGGGAGCTCGGCTGAGCGAGGTCGTGGGTCCCGTCGTGGAGGAGGCCATCGAGCCAGGGGATGCGACCCCGCTGACGGGACCCTCGAGGGAGTCCTCGGTTCCTCGAGCACCCCCGCCACCCCCACATCGTGTCACCACTTTGAGATCGCCGAGACCTCCGCCCACTACGTCTCAGGAAACACAAGAATCGGGTCATCAGACCCACGAATCAAACCCTAGCGATCCGAATCCGGGTCACCAGGCCCAGAATCCTAGCCACCAGCCTTCGAACCCAGGTCACGAATCGAATCCGGGTCAACCGACCCAGAACCCGGGCCATCATCAAAATCCCGGTCAGCAGGCTTCGAAAACAGGCCAGCAAAGTCAGAACCCGGGTCATCAGACCCAAAATCCTGGCCATCCGACTCAGAACCCGAGTCGGCCGGCACAGAATCCCACCCACCAATCGACCCAAACGCAACAACCCTCGTTGCAGCAACAACAATCTCAACAACAACAACAACAACAACAGGAAACTCGTCCCAGCAGCATGGGTACCGTGTTGTCCTTCAGCCCCCGCGACAGGCGGGGCTCCGTATATCCTCCAACCGGTCATCAGCATCCGACTGATTTCACGCTGAATAATTTCAATTACGAACAGCTGAACAATGCGAAAAATCGTGAAAACAAGAGCGGCGTCGCCACGGTGGCGCCGGCCCCGCCAACGAATCATCCGCCTACGAACAATAACGCGTTGCAAAACAACAACATTAACTTGAACAACAACGACAACGCGAGGATCATCTCGGAGAAGAACGCGCTCGAGAAGAACCTGAAGAAACACTCGTTGTTCATAAACGCGCTCTCGTGGAAACGATTCAGCACGTCGAACAACAACAAAAAGAAGCTCGACAATAAGAACAAGAATATTGCATTCCGGCAACCGCTCGATAACATACCCATCGTCGATAAGAATAAAAACATACAGACGCCTCAGGTATGCTATAATCGTTAATTATTAGATTTTTAACTTAAAATGTAAATTGCATTATTGTCGTCCAGTATTTAGCTACTCGGTTGTTATGCGACGATGCTGGTTTGTTTGTAAACTCGCATCGTGCGCGCAGGGACTAGTCGTCAACAGCGAGTCGTCGAGAAACGTTAGATAGAGTAATTGTAAAAGTAAAATGAAGGTAACCATAGCTAAATGAACGCAGTTATAATAAAATCACTGTAGGGTTTATAATTGATTACGTGGCGATCGCGACAAAGGTGGCCCATTTTCGTTCGAGCAAAGCAGCCACGAACCATTGGTTCGGAAGACTCGTGCAAAGAACGCGGAAGGTGCTTTGACCCTAGATACGATCGAAAGCATATCGATCGTTCTTTACTTTTCTTTGTTGCGTTTTACGAACACGCGCGTACTTTCTTTCCCCTCGGCGTAAAAAATTCTTGGGAAGGAAACTCGGTCGATCGGGAGTGCGTTTCACCCTCCGGTTATAAGTAATTCAACGCAGCATACGAATTCTTTTGCCACGTAACAATGTTTTATTATTTAAGTACATAGTATCTTTTTTTTTTTTTTTTTCATCGTTGGATAAATATTGATTTGAAATGATATTGAAACAGACAAAGCCTCCAGCGTCCAACAATAACCACACCACGCACAACCCGACGTGCGAGAAGCTAGTGCAGAAACCTTTACCTCCTAAGCCAAGGAAAACTGTGATCCAAGCCTCGACCTCGGAATTGCTCAAGTGCCTCGGCGTCTTCCTTCACAGGAAATGCACCCGTTTAAGAGACTTCCAGGCTGGCGACGCTGTCATGTGGCTGAAGACCGTCGACAGGAGTCTGCTGCTTCAGGGCTGGCAGGTGAGTGCTTTGCAATTAATCCTTTCCTTTCGTTCCTTTCAAATTCCTTCTCTATTCTTTTTACGCGTCTATGAAATATCAAGCAAACGATTAATCTTCTTTCTTGATCCGTGTAACCATCAAAGGGTTAATACAATTTCAATATAATCACTCTTATCTATACGATCATCATCGCGGCTCGAAGAAGCAATTACGGTTTGAATTTCCGAGCGAGAGTTGTTCGATAACATGCCGACCAATTAACGATAACGCGCTAATTAATATTTATCCCAGCCATTGTTGGTATCTGATCGAAACCTATTGCCAGGTTATTGCGATATTGAGTTAATTAAAGCGGATTCATCGTCGACGATCGAATTACCTGGGTATTATCTCGACGATAAAGGTGTGAACGCGATGGTTCGGGAAAACGAAAGCTTCGCCGATTGAAAGCAAACCTCGCGTTCGCTTGGAAGATATTTCATTTCATGCTTCGCTCGAGTCATCGGCGTTATCCGTTTCTCAGTCGTTGCACATCGGTCGAAGGGTAAGGCGAAAGAGAGCAAGCACTTAGTCGAAACGAGATCCGCACGCGTCGGGATAGCTGAAGCACCCTCGACTCCTTTCCTATTTCGCGCTCTGGGATGCACACATATGTGCACGGTGCACTCGCGGTGACCCACGGGAATACGTGGCTCGTAATGAGAAGCACTAGGGGCCCGTTACTCGCAATATGTCACGGAGCGAATTAAACGAGACGCTTCTTTCTTGCGGAACGAACGGCTGCAAAATTGCTCTTACGTGCTTCTCGATATTGCCAAAAATAAAAGTTATTCAGGCGTCTTATTTCATCGCCAGACTGCGATGCAGTCAATGTATCGACTTCTATTCGAGTACTTCGGTATTACGTATAAAATATATAGGTCAATATTTATTTATATCGTTTCCTTTCATCTATACAATATATTGGTCCAGTTCGATCGTTTCAATAGGGAACACGTTGCGTGGGAAGAGACATGTGTCTTTCGAGCACGTTACGAAGTTGCTTCTCGTGTCAGTCGGACGTAACGTTATCGCTTGTTGCTCGAGACACCGTGAATAGAAAGGAAACGGGTTTTCAATGTATTGTTAGCAATGTTCGATGAATGAGGAAGAAATTGAAAGGGAATAATACACGGCGAGGTGTACGTAGTTTCGTCCAAAATTTTATTCATTTTTTAAATTGTTATCGACTTAGCCTTGCCTATCGTTCTTAAACATCGTCAGGGTACACTTTCAATATGTCAGAGGGAATATAAAATTACCTTCCATAAGGTTAATCTATTTACCCAATTAGAATATTGGCAAGAAGGAAAAAAGAAAAATGTCGTAGGACTCGCTTTTTCTTCGCAACCACGAAGGTCATTATCGATCATCCGGGTCGCGAGTTGTCGCGCAGTGTGCCAGTTTTCATGGAAAATCGACCAATCCATCCATGAAAACGATGTTTACTCTGGATGGCAAGTGGTCTCTCTGCCGACGTGGATGACATTCTCGTCACGAATGAATGTACTAAAACTCCAAACGACTCTGTTGATCGATAACTCTGACGCATACGGGGTCCACGCCCGATAAATCTACCTCTGGAATAAAATTCACAAAGGGTGTTCCTTATCTGTCCATTCAGCAAATCGTTTACTAACGAGCCTATCTAGAGCTTTCGATCAGATTATTATCATTTCTACGCTCGAATGATTTTTATTTTAATTCCTTTATCGTCGGTGATCGGACGTCATCGATAAGGAGGACACGAAACGTCATACGATGTACGTCAACGATTCCCACACGTGTTTCGCCCTTTTTATGTCTCTCTATCTCCGATTACCACTGCAGAGAATGTTCATAAATCATAAAACGAGTTGGTAATTTACAATTTCTCCCGATCGATCGAAACAATGGGCCAGAGGAAATCGATGAACGTTTGAAGGACTCTGGTGGATGTGCGTGACTAGATGTTGCGCTTAGAAAACTTCACCGATTTAGATAACAGTCCCTGTGCGTTTTTCTACGAGTACGAGATTACGTCTCTTTTGTTTCGTTTGCGAAGATTAATTGAAAAATTAAATTGTTCTATTCTCTAGTTTTTATTAACCCTTCAGTGACTGTAGGTCAATTATGATTCATACCTTTTGTGCACCTTGCAGCTTTATATTTCAGTTTTTAAAAAAAATAAAAATGTTACCCAGTTAGAGAGTTAAAGAATGTAAGTAACAAAGCAAATTAGACATTCACGCTTTGAATTCAGTAGCAAAACGCGTAATTAACGCGCCTCTCTTAGCGTTTCAAGGAATATGAATAACCTTATGCATATACCAAAGGGTGATTCTGCAGGTCACAAAGAGTCTCAAAAAGTCACAGGTTGATAGTATTGCAGTGTAGCTAGCAAACGTAACGCCAGGGTAGGTTCACTCTAACACAGAGTCCCTAATAAGGGGTAGCAGTCAGTGCGTTGGCGTGCGTGTGTTTATTCGTCTCGACGAGGGTACGATGTAGGTAAATATACACAGTACCACGGCTTTCGTTGTCAAAAGGGTCTCTTTAGCGATCATCGCCGTAGCTACCCTGTTTTCCAACCCCAAATCCTACTAGACCCTTACGCGAACGTTAACCACCCCTCTCTCCCTCGTACGAGATTTCGAAACCGATTCGATTTTCTTCTTCGTATAAATAGAATCATTTTTTCTTGTAAGAAATCTAGTTACCTACTTTCTTCCATGGGTTCTTCAAGAGAAATCTTTTTATAGACAGGCTACTCGTATTCCCTACTTCATCCCCCATGCGGCACTAATTCGCGTACAACGCGTTCGCACGTATTTTTTTCACCAGAAATTGGAACGCGGGGTTAATTATAAAGAAGGATACGAATCGATAGGGTGTATCAGGGGGTGGAAGAAGGAAAATGTGTGCAGCAATGTGCAACATCGGTGAAACCGCGTTAGAGAAGGGGCGGGAGATTGAGGGTCACGTGCGTGCAATGGCAACGTCGCAGAACCACCCCTGTTGGCAGAGCACCCCTTTGCTGTAGAAATATGCGGGAGCTTCCGACAGGGACGTTCACCCTTCGGTTTTAATTGCAAAGGGGAGACGACCTCTTCTCGTACCCCCAAACCTCCTTGCGACTCGAAAGACGATCATTCAGCGAGAGGGATTACACTTTAAAAAAATTGCTGCTTCCCTCCACCATTTTGTCGGAGGAGATTTATTGAAATTGCAATGGGTGGTGTTAAGAGATTTTTATTTTCGCTAAAAGATTACAGTTGCTTTTGAAACGAGATACATGATTATTTTTCAAATCTTAATTAATTTTATTGTGTAGATTTCTTAGTGGGGGTTGAAGCTTACCCTTTCGTGCAAGCTTATGCGTCGAATTATCGAAAGCCCCGATAGCGTTACGTAAAAGTTAATTTTATCGATTTCTCGTCATAGAACTGAATCTCTTCGACATCTGTTAGTTGCATGTAACAAATGTTTAGTTACAAAGAATCACCCTTAGCTCGATTCGTCGTTGCGCTGTTCTTTTTCTCGCTCTTTCCTGGAACTTTCATATCAGGTTACACAGAAAATCACGCCTCGCGGTTTTCATAGAATAGGGATGAACCGCAGATCGATCGCACACGTGCTCAAATCTAATCAGTCAAGGGTGACACACACAGTTCGCCCTAGAAACACACTAGACTCCTGTCTAGGGTGTCGACAGATTTCCTTCGTTCGATTGAACGCAAATCGGATTTCTGGGAAAATAGGAGGAAATGTAGGGAAACAGGATCCACTGCACTATGCATTTCTGAATTACCCTAAATTAACCTAGATCAGGTCTTTAAATTTCCACACTTTCCATTCGACGAATCTTTTTATTTATTTATCAATCCATATCTTATGATGCAAGAAGAAATCCCCTCGCGAATCTAAATACATAAATAGATTATCATCGTCCACCTCGTCAACAAGTGACCAGTAGAACATTCTCTATTAGGTAACCAACTTGGATTTCCATTTCGAGTTGTGTAATCTTCTTTCTCGCAAAACATTGCCAACTTTCTGTCCACCAATGTTCTCTGAAATTCTTAAGAAAGTTTGCGCCATTATAAGAGAGCGATAAGACTCTTATCTCGATCGAACAGTGTCTAATATCTTGAAGATCCACCCTTCTAGTTATCTCTTCAAGATGAACTCGCGGTTCGAAAGGGAGTATCATGCTTGTCAGGAGCAACACGTTGATCGTTTAACTTGGAACGTTAATCCAGTTCGTCTAGACGGTAAACAGAAGAAGCTTGAACGTCATTGCGGCGAATCCCGTTAAAGGGAAACCATATCAGTTGGAATTGTTTTCCGCGTCCGCAACGAAACTCGCGGATAGTTGTTCGTCGGAATAAACGAGCACGTGTAGAACATTCTATATTATTTTCCTTGATACGAAGCCAAATAAAACGATTCTGAATAACGAAGGATAGCGACAGATTAAGGTATGCAGTTTTATCGATCACGTGAACGATTATCCGATGGATTATCGGTGAATCTGCAACGCGGGCACATTAGGAAATGGATCAGACGAACATTATGAAACATGGATAACAATTAGATAAAGAACTTCGAACAAATCTTCGTTTTTGTAATTCTTTTTATTGATATCTGATTATTGTACATGGACACGGTTGACTAGCATTTACGGAAGTGACGAAAATGTCCTTTAGGGAATCGTATTAAAAGCAATATCCGATTAAACGCGAGGGAGAAGCTTCTTCGGTGCGGTTGAACATCAAAGAGACAATTTTGTCCGGATCGATGTGGTCCAGTGTTGATCGAAGCTAAAAGCGTCTGCTTCTGCGCTTCCTGTTAGTCAATTAACCCTTTCTAGGATCGTGTTCTCTATTATAGAACGATTATCTGGAACTTGAATTCTCCTTTTTAATTACATCATGTTATTTGTCTACTTATTGTATAATAACACATAGGCTTTCCACTCGATTACTTATTCGTTGAAGCGATATTAATCAAAATTTCTCGTCAATTCTTTTTGCTGAAAATCGTTTCACAATAAGATTCCAGATCGGAATCAGTTACAGGACTACGCGGAGTCGCGAGAATTTAATTAGAAAGACTGAATCCTCGATAAGCCGATGAAAAACGCGGTTACAGTGCTCCGTAGGGGTGCAGGCCGCTCACCTCTGGCGAATATCGACCGAACGAATATATACGGCTGGTCGTTCCGTCGGTTTTCCGCCCTCGAAGGCTTGACCAGCCGTGTTTCCAACGGACCACAAGTATGCTCTGTGAGCTGGCCAAGACACGTGGAAACTCCATGGACGTATCGGCACATGCCTGAATGGGAACTTTAGGTTAAAAATAAATACGCCTCCTTTGTAGTTACAAAGTTTTGCCTCGCCGTCCTGTTACAGCGTCGATACAGCTCACGCAATTGATACGGGAAAGCTATTATCTGTGCTGGAAAACAAAAATAGACGAGCTAATAATATACACGCAAACAGGCTTTGTTTCCCGTGGATACCTCTTTTTGGAAGTTCACCTTTTGACGGGTGTCCCCTTTTATCAGTCATCTATTTCGATTCTCTCGTACAGTGGGTATCAAACTCGATCGATGTGCCGCTTAGAAATTGATTTAAATTTCTTAATTTTAATATACACAGCCGTAGGTGCGCGCGAGTAGACAGAGAGGTTCGAGTTACTGGTGCGTGTGGGTGCAATAACGGTGAGGCCCCGGGATGACCCGACAGAATCGATGCTCCCGATACGAGAGATTTTCTCGGCTGCCAGGAATTTTGCGAGCGATCGCTGTTGCACCTCTGCCGCGTACGTCCTCCCTCGTTAACGCGTTTAACGCGCCCGTTACGCGGCGCAAAGCGTTGATGCGCTTCGATGCGTTTCGTCCCCGATGCAGCCGGAACGTCCAGGAATATCTAGGGACGTCGACACCTCCTAGTTCTCGGAGTTGATAAAAAAGTAGCGATGCTTTTATATATACGTATCAACGGATGGATCAATCGAGTGGAAGCTCGCGTTAGAGGCGTGTAATGCATTCTCGAATCATAACAGGTGAATCTTTCAGAGGATGGAAGTAGAATTGGGCGTGTCCCACGGGCGTGTGTAAATTAGAATAACATTTTCTTTGAATAATGCGAAGCTGTTCGTATACTTACGAACGATAATGTACGTACGTTCGAGATAAGTGCATTAGATGCATCTACAGGATCGGTAACACCTCTGTATGCACGTTAAAGCGGAGACGAGCCGTTTCGTGGTCTCTCAACGAGCCAATGCACTTTACCTTTGCCCTCTCGGGCTAAATCGACCCACGCGCCTCGTGTTCTAATTCGCTAATGACTCAGAGGACTCGGTTTCTGGAGCAAGGAGACGAAACGCGACATTCGATAAAGGGCAGTAGTAGCACGCGAGAGACTGCTCCTTCCATCTTTGCTAATATTACATAAACGGCTACTTAAAATAGCTGTTCCGTGTCTGATTTAACACTACTACGATAAGACAAATTTACAAAAGTGAATTCGAGGTCGTTTGAGAGGCGCAAATATCGTTTCTCCAGGGTCTGCGAGGAAAGGAAGACCTGTCGCAATCGAAGTATCGACCGCGGTTGCCGTCGACTACGACAATGCCGATTGTAATTTCGCAAGCCTGGCACGTAACGCGACACCATGCGTGAATCATCCCTTTTTGTTCGCCCGCTAAGTATGCAACATACACTTTGCGTCACCTGAATGCACCTACCAGGAAAAAGAATAATACACGTGTTCCCCCGACGTTGAAACGTATCGAATGTCTGTCTACTTCTTTCTACTCGCAAGTATTCGATTGTAGTTCAGCTCTTTTGTGACGTTGTTTGGACGCTTGCCATTTTTTAACTTCGAAATTGAAGCGAAGGCTAAACGCGACCTTTCCAAATATTCTCATTCGAAATTCTACCACAGAGGGGTTGGAAAAATTATTCTAAGCTATTCTTTGTATGTTTGCTCAACAGGACGTCGCTTTCATCAATCCTGCCAATGTTGTGTTCGTTTATATGCTGGTGAGAGAGCTGGTGGACGGCGACGAAGCGTCCGAGAGGGAACTTCAAGCCACGGTGTTAACGTGCCTGTACCTGAGCTACAGCTACATGGGCAACGAGATCAGCTACCCGTTGAAGCCGTTCCTGGTGGAGGACAGCAAAGACAAGTTCTGGGATCGATGCCTGTTGATCGTCAATCGATTGAGCTCCGAGATGTTGCGAATCAACAGCGAGCCAGGATTCTTTACGGAGATCTTCACCGAACTGAAGGTAGGTGCACGATGATGTCGTTAGAACTGGTTCGCTGTAGTTTGCTGAAAAGTCCATTGATCGCTGGAAGTGATGGGAGAGTAAACGTTGTTGGCAGCTTGTAGATACTTTACCGCTATACCTCTTGCAGAAAACGTAAAGCGTATAAAATTCATCGAGTCAACTAAAAACAATCCAAAATGACAGGCGTGCGGCGCTGGGGATCGAGGTAGCCTGCCTGGTAGCGGCCTCGAGCGGAGTCTCGTCGTCTCCGGAGTCGCGGTACCCACCAAGGCGGCTTGACGGAGCTACACACACCTGCTGGTGCGCATCGCCAGGCACGGCTGCGACGTCACGACGCTCTGACGACGGCCATCGCGACGACGAGGGGCTGCCCTCGCAGCTTGACCCCACCGCATCGACCTCCACCTCGACGTTGCATCGACAACCTCATCAGCATCAGCATCAGCATCACCATCACCATCATCATCGCCATCGACATAGCCGCGACGATGGAGAACCGAGCGGACTCTGCCCGTCCTGTGGTCAAAGACGCCGCGAAGAGATCTACTACACCATCGAGGATTTGGACGCGATCGAGGCAGCGCCTCTCGAGTCCCAACGAACGCCCACGTCGCAGAGGACCTGTAGCTGCGACACCGTCGACGGTATCAGTGGCGAAAGGGAACGCGGTGATCTTCGCAAGTACCGCAGCACCGACTCTAGGTGGATCGACAGCAGTTTCCTCTCTCCCGAGGACGCGATCTGGGACCTGAGGAGGCGTACCAGCGAGGGAACGGAGTTTCGATGGGCTCTACACACGTCCAGCACCGATTTGGACCTGGTGAAGAAGACGAAATGCAGCTGCCACAGTCTAACCCCGGAGGAGAAAAAGCCGCAGGACGTGCAACGAGGGGACCTGAGGAAACACCACAGCGCCGAAACGGACAAGTGGTCGATCAAGCCGGACTACCTGCAGACACCGATGCACGATTTGAGGAAACACAGCAGCGACGACACCAGGATGGCCAGAGAAGCCAGGTGGCTTCAGGTTCCGGAAGTGTTGCCCAACCCGAAGCCAAGATGCACGTGTCCGAAATCAAAGGTGTTGGCCCCTTCGCCACCGGCCGAACCGCCAAAACCATCGCCGCCACCGCCACCGCCAACGCCACCGCCAGTGGAACAAGTAGTAGAAAAACCTCCCGCGATACTGGAGCCGGAGAGGAAGCTTTACTACTCCGCGTCTTTGGCCGTCGAACGACCGGAAGAACCGACCATCGCGCCTGTCCCAGAGAAACCGGAACTGAAGAAGCACGCCAGCGAGGACACAAGGCTAGTGAGAACCGAGAGAGTCCGGGAGAGACCGAAGCTGGAACGATCACACGCGAGAGTCGACAGTCAGATGTCGAAGAAATGGGGCGCAAAGGAGAAGGTGATCAGTCCCGAGGAAGGGAAGAAACCTCGGCCAAAGTGGGCGATGAAACCGCACTTCTCTTTGCCCGTCGAGAAGAAGGATTCGAAATGGAGGAGCCAAGACTCGACGGAGAGTTTCAAGAGCAAAAGCTTGAAGGAACGACCCAAGTACAGCATCCGGAGGAGCATGTCACCGGAACCGGATCCACGTCAGATAACGAAACTGGAGAACAGAATCGTTCGACGATTGATATCTCCGGAGATCACCATCATGGACGCGAAATGGGCTCCCTACGAGGACGCTTCTCCTTTGCCTACGATCGGGATCAAGAAACGTGAGCCAAAGCACATCAGCGAGATCAAGTGGTCCCCGTACGAGGAATCGCCAATGGACGGTGGTGGTGTTGGTGATAGTTTCGCGGTTGAGGAACCGGAAGAGTCGAAATCTTGGTCACCGTTTCATCACGTGACACCTACTCATCATCCACCTCCAGAGGCGACACCCTGCCGTAGCGACGACGAAGATTTTCGATGGAGGATTCTCAACCAGGTGTCAGCGTTCCCGATCTATCAAGGCGGCTGGAAGGACGAGTCACCCGAGAGGACACCGCCTAGAAAGCTACAATCTCCGGTGGATCTATCTCCGCCGATTTGGTCTCCTCAGGTTCCAGCTACTCCCGTGAAGAGGCAGAGATCCCAGCAGCAGTACTCTCCACCTCCGCCGGTACAACGGAAGAGCATCGTTAAGGGTCGCGGCTTGTCGAAGAAGAAGGCTCTGAGAGCCAGGTCGGAGAGTCATCAGGCGGGCGGGGATGATAGATTGATGCCGCCTACGGTGTTGGTTCGTGCCGCTAGCGAGGAGCCGAAGAGCCGTCAAAGGCCTCAGTTGATGAGATCGAAGGCTTTGTTAGAGGTCCCTGTGCCGATGGGTATTACGAAGAGGTCGTTAAGCGAGGAAGTGCCCCGCACGCGAGGCCGTGAACGGCCACGTGCTCCTAATAGAGCTCGCAGCGAGGAGGCACCCAAGTATGAAGACCCATGGTTCGCTAACGACAGCCTGCCAGTTGAGAAGACCGAGTTGCGGGAATACGTGACGACGGTTTAAGTGGGGGAACAGAAGTTTGACGGTACTCGAAATCGAGCCAAGGTATTTTAGAATTCATTTGCGCCGCACCCTCGCCAGTAGAGGGTTCTAGTTAGCTCGCTTAGCTGTTTTCTACGGACATACGAACCGATCAGGTGTGTACATTAAACAGATTTCCTGCAACTGCGATCATTATTTTTCATCTCTGAGCCGCATTCGCCTTTTTTAAATTGCACCATCGACGCGCGATGAGATGGTGGTCGTTCAGAATCGTAGAGAAACCGTGATTCATGAGAGCGAACCAAGGTGACGGATGAACGTAAACGGCTAGAGGTTCGAGTCGCGACGATCATACACTTCGTTGGCCTACGAAACGAAGATTACAAAATCGAAGGAGCAACTATAATTAGTCGAGGAGTCAACGATTCTTTCTGTAAAAGAAAATAAGAAACGATAAAATCGAGAGGCTAGGGGTCAAGGACTGATTAATATCGAGTTCGCGTGGCGTAGCTGAAGGGTCTCGAACGATAACGACGACCCCTTCAGCTTATTAAAACGAACAATTTTCAGCTCGAAACTGAACTTTTCATCGGCAACACTGAGCACCGAAAAGTACAGCTCGACGCGGTTGTCCAGTCTGTGACGACCAAATGACAGTTCACGTAGGGTGTTTAAGCGATAACGATAGCCAATAACGTAATTAACACAGTCGAGCGTAATCTTCGATTTAAAAATAACAAAATAAAAATGAAACCGCATTAATAATACGAGCTTAGGTGTTTAAGTATAGCTGATACGAATATCGAATAAATCGTGCGGTTTTCGTGTTGCTGAAATCAAAGTTATCGTATCGAAAACGGAAAGGAAAATGAAACCAAAAACGAACAACTCGATTCGAGTACACCATGGTGTAATACTTCTAAAAAAAAAAAAAAAAAAAAAATGGGACGTTGGAAATAAACCAAAGTTCGTTCGGTGAGTCGTCGGTGCTCGACGAGGACACCTTTGTTACATATTCCTTTCTTTTGCTATATATAATACAATGAAAATTGCAGAACGATCCGCTTGAAAAATGGATCCCTCGTGATCCGTAGATCGTTAGCGAATATCGTGCATACGCATAATTAAGTTCTAACGTGAAGAAAAAAAGAAAACAAAAAACAAAAGGGGGTCGCTAATATGGCGGCTGAGGTAAACGACATTTAGCAGCCCTCGTGTGCCGGCGCGTGCAATATTAATTAGGATTATACATTTACCAGTTCATTGAATAGCCAGTTAAGGATGGGGTACTAAGTATTAAGCGAAACAACGCGATCATCTTGTAAAGTTTAACCTTATCGACGGCTGCACTTTACTTTACCCCAACTGTTCGCCATTTTAGTTGCCATTACGCCTGCGATTCGATACGTTTTTTGCAGAAAACGCGATCCCTCCAGGATTTTCGAGTACTGTATACATACACGCATATATATATTATAAATATATGCTCTCTATACACGCGTCTGCCGGTCTCTTGCCGGCTTCTTCAGCCACGATCGTTTTAGATTTTTGATATTCGATTGCAAGGTGATTCGGATGTGTTTCTCTGGAGACGGAGGAAGCCTCGATTGAAAGTGTATTTTGTATTTCGATTTGAATTCCGATCATCCACCGATAAACCAGTGCTTCGAACAATACAACTTAGGCTTCTCTTTGTTAACACGTTCAATTTTTAGGCTCATCACAAATTCTTTATAATTGTTTGACAATTAACCAACCGTATCATTAATAAATATACTTGTTCATTTCCATCGGGATGGTTAATGCGTTTAATTGGAAAAATAAAATGATCGTGTTTGAATAATTACAATTACGTTACGTCTGATACGAATTTTGGGTTAAAGGAGTTAATTAGGAAAAGCCTAAGTGATTTACCCTCGCGAGACGCGTGTTATTCATGCGTTGCAAATACATTCGAGCATCGTCTTACACAGTCAGATTTTGTACATATTTTTAATAATGTGTGATAGCTGTAATTGTACACCACGGTGGCAGACTAATGAAAGGAAACAAAAATAAACGACGATGATGAAGTTTTCTAAATATTCGGGTCTTCCTCCCGTTCAGTTCAGGTCCGGTCGTTCTTAATATTCTTTATTTCTTCGTTCAGCCGTTCGTTTCCCTCGCGGTTTCTCGATGTCGTCTCGTGTTAAGAAGAACCCCTTGCGAATACACTTCCGGTGCCGAGGAGGCCGTATCATTGTCGCGGGTTATCGAAACAAACGAAATGAAAAAAAAAAACCATTCCTGTGACTGACACGCGTTACAATCGGCCGTACGAATAAAAATCGAAGCTTTCAGCTCGAGAACGGAAGCTGAGGCATTCCGAAACTTCCGTTTACCTCGGGATCGAACGACTCTTTCTGTTCGTGCGGCTCGATATGCTGTCGCCACGAAAGAAAAAGAAAAAGTTACAAAAAAAAAGAGAAAAATTAAAAGAGAGAAACTCACAGAGATAGAAATTATTTTCTAAAGAAAATGCGTGAAACAGGAGAGAAAGGGAACGAATGAGAGTGAGATTTAGAGCGAAAGGATGATAGAATTATTTAAGAAAAGGGGGTGAAATATCGACGATAAGCTTGCGCAGGAATCGTGCGAGGTGCGAAAGAAGATCAACCAAAAAAAAAAAAAAAAAGATGAAAGTGAGCCAAAAAAAAATACCAAAAAAAGAAAAATTCCTTGCTTTCTCCGGCGAGATCTCGTGCTAGCGAATTTTTTCTATAAAACTGCGTGTGTTTTAAACGAGGACGAACAAACCAAAATGAGATGCAACAAGCATAAAAGAGAGATTACCAAGAAACAAAGAGAAAAAAAAAAATGAAAAAAATATGTATCTAACTGCGCGCCTGATTTCACCCGTATTGCATAGCGTACGAGAAATTCTCACTTAGGTATTTGTAAGTACCATTAAGAAAGAGAGCTGCATGTGAGAGAGAAAGAGGGGATGAGGGGAGGGGGAGAGCCAGCCTGCAAATATTAAACGCCATTAGTTGCCATTCAATCGTGAATATATTTAATTAGTTGGCGATTATTCGTGGCTAGCGATCTGTCTTTCTTTCTACGTTTGATCTCGAGAAAACCAAGCGCACGCCACTTTACTTCTTCGTTCCCAGTTTAGGATTATTCTAGCAGTAAATTGTTAGCGAATAGAGATGCTTCGAAGGCTCCATATTTTACTAATTATATACACAACAGAAACACACGCAATCATTCTAGTCACGTATGTGTACACGCATGATAACGAGCCCTCCCAGCGTACACTTTCATCATTTTATCTGTTCGTCAATCGCTTTATTATTATCAACGACGTCTAATAATTAAGCAGGCTGATTGTTAGTCGATTATTCTAGGTAATAGATGAATCACCCTTACGAGAACAAGGCTGTCATTGCATTTATCGCTCTCTAGTTGCACACGCTGTATTAGTACTGATATTTAGAGATCCTCCTGATCGGTATTTCTCGAGATCAGACGTTCAATAACGCGTTTACGAATCGCGATGCATATAACATTGTTAAAATAGTGATTTTCGCATTGTTTTAATCGAATGGCGTTAACGTGTTCAAATTTCGAGGCGATGAAATAAACGGAGATGAAGAAAAGCCACGCCACTGTTATAATTAAAACGTACTAATAAATAAAAGCGCTGCATAGCGATTCGTTTATTCTCGAAGTAAACATAGTACATATAATAGGTTCTTTCCTTCGTAGTGCATACAATAATTAATTCTGGCGTACTCATTGCGTACTGTACGATATTAATAAATAGAGTAACGTATTTAATTGAGCGATCAACATCCGGTGAACGACGGTCTTAACGGATACCGTGCGCAGGGGAGTCTTTAAGCGTGCGTTATTCAAAGTGATTTGGAAAAAGTAAAATATACAAACATTATTTCAGCAGGGATGAAGAAGAAAGAACTCGGCCACGTTAAGATGCTGTACGGTGTAAAACAAAAAACATTGTATTTGTGCTGCCATTAGCGTTAAACGAATGAACGGAAGATGAAAAGCAAGAAAAATGGGAAAACAAATTAGGAGGAAGCCAAAGTATTATAGTTAATGAAAACACCCGGGTAATAACACGTACACACACATACAATTAATTATGCTCTGTATACACACGCGTGGAAATAAAACAAATGGACACGCGTACACGTTTACATATATAAATATACATACATATGTTGTACGATACATACAGGTTACACATACCCGATGATGTAATTAATAAGTACTTTAATCCCGAGAAAACAATTCGTTTCACGGTACGAGAATGATTTTTAGGAGCCTTCGTGTTGAATAATTAGCAGTCTCATTCCATGTATCGTATAATCGAGAGATCGAGTGACCGTGATCAGTACGTACATATAATAGCGATTAAAATCATTAAATGAAATAAAAGAACAAAAAAATAAGAAACCATATGCGAAATGAAAAATGAACCTGTTCAAAATAAGGGTTCATAGTGTGTACTGTATTCGAATGTGATGAAATTTGTTATAATTACGTCCCTGATTATTGTTACGTTGTGCTTTTTATTATTGCTGATCTATTATTACTATTACTATTGTCTATGTTTTATTACGATTCCTACGGAGAAGTATTATTACCATTCGAGAGTATTATGAGCATTATTATTGAATATTTGTTCATTACCATTGCTATTTATTATTATTACGCGAAAAAGAGATCGACCACCGATTTTATTTCTAGTACAATTTCTCTAGTCCCAATTTAGAGTACTGTCGATACTCAGTCTCCCCCGTCCCCGATGTATTTGATTTTTTGTCAAATAAATCCGAAAGAAAGGATGCCACGCGTTGCAGGACACGTAGTTCTTGCTGTAATAGAGTGATGCATTACCTGTGCAACAAATGCAGTATACAACCCATAAATATGAGGTCAATGTTGATTTGTTTAAATAAATGTAAGTTTGAAAATCCACAATCAGTGTGTAATTTCTTTCCTCTTCCTTACTGGTTTTCAGAGATATTTCCTTTTGCAAAATGGAACTTATTTACAAAATTTGGCCTGAATCGGAACATGATTAACTGCAAATTTAAATCGCTCACAGGAAGAAGTCTCAAGTTCGACCATTTTGCATTCTATTTGAAAACGGCGGAAATTACTCGACAATTTATCGATCAGTTTTCAAACCAGTAGCGCCAACTATTCAAAACACAATGGAAGCTATTTGCCATAATACGAACGGGTCCCGCCGAAGGTCGCTAAGTCACCGACACTAGTTACCAACTGCAGGCGAATCGGTCAATAAGAATCTGACACTCCCCTATCACCCGCCCCCAACGGTGAGGGGTCTTATGCAAGATTCCTCCATGTTACAAAAAAAAACTATACATAGCCACTGATTCAGGTAAAGGTAGCTGGTTGCGGCACCATTATCAACCGTTCGACCTAGAGCGATGTGAAACACCATCAGTCTTATAGCGACCGCCGAGGAGTGCAGATCTACTTGCTTATATACCCATATTTTATTTTCTGTGTTCCCAGCATTCCTTACGGCACTGCATACTTTACATCCCTGCCTTTTTTATATCAGTGCATCCTTAACATTTCCATCACCCTTACACCCCTGCATTATTTATATCCCAGCATTCCTTAGGTCACTGCATCCTTTACATCCCTGCCGTCTTTATATTAGTACATCCTTTACATTTCTACCACCCTTACACCCCTGCATCCGTTTACATCCCCTACATCTCTACATCCCTTACATCACTTCATCTGTTACATCCCTGCAATCGTTTTATCACTACATCCCTGCAATCGTTTTATCACTACATCCCTTACATCACTTCATCCGTTACATCCCTGAAATCGTTTTATCACTACATTCTTTTCATCTCTTCATCCCTTACATCCCTGCAATCGTTTTATCCCTACATTCTTTTCATCCCTACATTCTTTACATCTCTTCATCCCTTACATCCCTGCATCCCCTACATCTCTACATCCCTTACATCGTTGGAATCGTTTTATCCCTACATTCTTTTCATCTCTACATTCTTTTCACCCCTACATTCTTTTCATCCCTTCATCCCTTACATACCTGCATCCCCTACATCTCTACATCCCTTACATCACCTCATCCCTTACATCACTTCATCCCATACATCCCTGCAATCGTTTTATTCCTACATTCTTTTCATCTCTTCATCCCTTACATCGCTGCATCCCCTACATCTTTACATCCCTTACATCCCTGCATTCTTTGCATCCTAACATTCTTCTCATCCCTGCAACCCCCACATCACTGCATCCTTTACATCCCTGCTTTCCTTACATCTTTGCACCCTTACATCCCCGCAACCCTTAAACCCCTTATCCCTTATATCTCTCACATCCGTCATATCCGTAAGCTCTTTTTGAGTAAGAAAAGTTACAAATTTAGTTCCTTTTTTTGACACCAGAGGGCGCTGATTCGAGGTCGAAATTTTAGTTCACATTTTTGCCGCTAGAGGGCCAAAAATTGAGCATGATTTAGTTCCTTTTTCCAAAACCAGATGGCGCTGATTCGAGGTCGAAATTTTAGTTCACATTTTTGCCGCTAGAGGGCCAAAAATTGAGCATGATTTAGTTCCTTTTCCCAAAACCAGATGGCGCTGATTCGACATCGAAATTTTAGTTCAAATTTTTCCCGCTAGAGGGCCAAAAATTGAGCATGATTTAGTTCCTTTTTCCAAAACCAGATGGCGCTGACTCGAGGTCGAAATTTTAGTTCACATTTTTGCCGCTAGAGGGCCAAAAATTGAGCCTGATTTAATTCCTTTTTCCAAAACCAGATGGCGCTGACTCGAGGTCGAAATTTTAGTTCACATTTTTGCCGCTAGAGGGCCAAAAATTGAGCCTGATTTAATTCCTTTTTCCAAAACCAGATGGCGCTGACTCGAGGTCGAAATTTTAGTTCACATTTTTGCCGCTAGAGGGACAAAACTGCAGCATGATTTAGTTCCTTTTTTTGCCCCCAGATGGCGCTAAATTTATTCGTACTTTAGTTCCTTTTTCCGCCGTTAGAGGGCGCTATTTTTCATGAAAAATTCACTTACCTTTACTTACCTTTACTTACCTTTATTCCAACCAGTTTTTATAATATGTTATTATATTTATAATAAGGGATACAGGGATGCAAGGGATGTAAGGGATGTAAGGGGTGCAGGGATGTAAGGGGTGCAGGGATGTAAGGGATGCAGGGATGTAAGAGATGCAGAGATGTAAGTGATGTAAGGGATGCAGGGGTGTAAGGGATGCACTGATATAAGGGATGAAGAGATGAAAAGAATGTAGGGATAAAACGATTCCAGGGATGTAAGGGATGAAGTTATGTAAGAGATGCAGGGATGTTAGGAAACCAGGGGTGTAAAGAATGCAGGAATGTGAGGGTGTCATAGATGTAAAGGATGCATGGATATAAAGAAAGCAGGATGTAAGGAGTACTGAGATGTAGATAATGCAGAGATATAAGGGATGCAGAGATGTAAAGGAATCAGGAATGTAAAAGATCCACACAGGAGTAATAAAATTAACACATTCTTCCTTCTGATGAGTTTATTTAGTAAGCTAACAAGGAAAATACAGCAAATTAAATGAACGCAGAAAATAAAATAAGGGTATACATACAGTGCCGTAACGAGGATTTGAAGCGCCTGTATCAAGTATCTAACTTGCGCCTTAGTGTAACCCAATAATGATTAAAAATGTTAATGTAACAAGTTAAATTTTACTAAATGCCATGTATTAAACACTATTATCGTCATCAAAATGAGTTGCCTGTATATACGATCATGTATTTATCAAAGTATTCGTATGAATAAATAATCTACAACCTAAATAAGAACAAATTTTTATTTATATTCTGCAGCGACAAAATAACAGAAATACAAAACATAGGTGTCTGATAAAATAATATAATAAAAACAAAACAGTTCAACTTATTTTATAAAGTAATTTTATTATATCGTAAAAAATCCGGGACTCTGCTGCGCCAATGACATCCTTTGGATACTGATCTGATATTAATGTGAGGTGTTAGGGACCCCAAGGCATCAGTGAATCTGTCTGTATGATATATCATCTTGGGGTATTAGGGACCCCGAAGCACCGGCGAATCTGTCTGCAAACCGAGACGATCTCATCTTGGGGTGTTAGGGACCCCGAAGCATCAGTGGCACTGTCTGTATACCGTACTATCATCCTGGGGTGCCAGGGACCCCGAAGCACCAGGATCTAGCGAAATATAAGACCTAAAAACGAACAAATCGTGAAACTCGCTTGTTCGAGGTAGTGATGGGTACAACCGGATCTGTAGCGCATGGGCACTACAATTATTTACTATAAAACATTCTTGTAAATAATTAAGAAATTGTTCACTCACAAACAATGAAAATGATATATTTATAAATCACAAACGTTTTCCAATCAATTGCAGTTATCAGTTGTCACGAAATCTGTTTAGTATGAACAATTACTAAAATGTTTCGGCTCACATCATGATTGAAATAAAATTGCTAATTACAAAAGAATTATATTGTCACAAATGTTAAAAAAAGATTCACAATTAATCACAAACGATTTACGAACGAAACACACTAAGAACAATTAAAAATAATCATATTTTATTATTCCTTCCGGCAAGCTTCATGTAGGTTACTAAAATTATATCCTCTCGGGGTTCTAAAGACCCCAAGCATCGACAATTCTGTCTACCTAAATTATATTGTCTCGGGGTTCTAAGGACCCCGAAGCTCCTTTGATTGTGCATAGTAAAATTGTATCGTGTCGGGGTTCTAAGGACCCCGAAGCTCCTTTGATTGTGCATAGTAAAATTGTATCGTGTCGGGGTTCTAAGGATCCCGAATCACGGATGTTACAGCGTACTAAAATTATATCCTTTTGGGGTTCTAAGAACCCCGAAGCATCCTTGATTCTGCGTACCAAAATTATATTGTGTGGGGGTTCTAAAGACCCCGAAACACCAACGATTCTCTATACCTAAATTATATTGTCTCGGGGTTCTAAGGACCCCGAAGATCCCATGATTCTGCATACCCTCATAACGGTATCTGGGGTGCCGGAGACCCCAAGGAAGTAGCGAAATATAAGACCTAAAAACGAACAAATCGTGAAACTCAGTTGTTCGGAATAGTGATGGGTTTGACCGGATCTAGCGAAATATAAGACCTAAAAACAAACAAATCGTGAAACTCACTTGTTCGGAATAGTGATGGGTTTGAGCGGATCTAGCGAAATATAAGAACGAAAAACGAACAAATCGGGAAACTCACTTGTTCGGAATAGTGATGGGTTTGAGCGGATCTAGCGAAATATAAGAACGAAAAACGAACAAATCCTGAAACTCTCTTGTTCGGGATAGTGATGGGTTCGAGCGGATCTAGCGAAATATAAGAACGAAAAACGAACAAATCCTGAAACTCTCTTGTTCGGGATAGTGATGGGTTCGAGCGGATCTAGCGAAATATAAGAACGAAAAACGAACAAATCCTGAAACTCTCTTGTTCGGGATAGTGATGGGTTTCAGCGGATCTAGCGAAATATAAGAACGAAAAACAAACAAACCATGAACCTTTCTTGTTCGAGGTAGTGATGGGTACAACCGGATCTGCAGCGTATGGGCACTACAATTATTTACTATAAAACATTCTTGTAAATAATTAAGAAATTATTCACTCACAAACAATGAAAATGATATATTTATAAATCACAAACGTTTTCCAATCAATTACAGTTATCAGTTGTCACGAAATCTGTTTAGTATAAACAATCACTAAAATGTTTCGGCTCGCATCATGATTGAAATAAAATTACTAATTACAAAAGAATTATATTGTCACAAATGTTAAAAATAGATTCACAATTAATCACAAACGATTTACGAACGAAATACACTAAGAACAATTAAAAATAATCATATTTTATTATTCCTTCCGGCTAGCCTCATGTAGGTTACTAAAATTATATCCTCTCGGGGTTCTAAAGACCCCAAGCATCGACAATTCTGTCTACCTAAATTATATTGTCTCGGGGTTCTAAGGACCCCAAAGCTGCAATGATTCTGTATACCAAAATCATCGATGTTACTGCATACTAAAATTATATCGTCTTGGGGTTCTGAGTACCCCGAAGCATGCTTGATTCTGCTTACCACAATTATTTTGTGTATGGTTCTGTATACCTAAATTAAATTGTCTCGGGGTTCTAAGGACCCCGAAGCTCCGATGATTCTGCATACTAAAAATATATCGTCTAGGGGTTCTAAGAACCACGAAGCATCTATGATTCCGCTTACCAAAAATATATTGTCTAGGGGTTCTAAAGACCCCGAACCTTGGATGATTCTACATACCGACATTACGGTTTCTGGGGTGTTGGGGACCCCAAGGAAGTAGCGAAATATAAGAACGAAAAACGAACAAATCGTGATACTAACTTGTTCGGAATAGTGATGGGTTTGACCGGATCTAGCGAAATATAAGACCTAAAAACCAAACAAATGGCGAAATAGTAATTGCAAGATTATACTTACCATTCAGTTTTATATTTTACAATTGTTTATTAATAAAATTATTATTATATCTATTTAAGTTGTTTATTTCTTTACATTTTCGTGTGGGTGGCTTATTTTTAAGCAAATTGTTAAAAAATACAAACGTAGAAGATTGTATAATATACTTTATTTTTCAATCAATAAAATATACAAATTAGAAGATTCTTACCACGCGTCGGTTTGGATCGCGTGATTTTCCTTGAAATGCCAATAATTAATTAATTACAGATGAAATGCTTACATAATATATATTAGAAAATAGGTACTGCATTACACTTTATTCTTTAACCATCAGAGACTAGGAAACTTGGAAAATCAATAATAGAAGAAATCAGTCACTAACACATTAAATATAATACAAAGCCAACGAGAATAAAAAATTATTTTTATTGATGTCAACTTCAAGGGTTTCAGGGTATTGTTAAATAGATTTTACATTATAATTTAGTTTTACATATGGGTTTCTGTAGGGTCACATGTAATATATTTATATAATAATTACTACACATTGCCGCTCGGACAAAAGTGGTGCCAGCCACTTCTACATCACAACCAAAGAATTCTATTACATCGGCACCTTTAATTCCTCACGTACGCTCAACCCCTTCCTTTCATTCGAAAAAGATGACAAAACAGAAAAAAAAAATAACAACGAGAAACTAAACACAGAAGCAGGACGAGATCTTATCGGTATGCAGAGATTCGCCGATGCTTTGGGGTCTCTGACACCCCGGATGCCATAATATCGATATGCAAAGAGCATCATCACCCGTGCTTCGGGGTCCCTAACACCCCAAGCCATCGGTCATTGCGCCATCTATATGAAAGTGGCGCAAACTATTCGTTAACTTACCGACTGTCGGAAGTTCAGTCGATAAGTCGGTAATTTGTTGAGTAGTTTCCACCATTTTTGTATAGATGGCGTAGTGGTCGACATTTAAAAATACTTAATTTTAGGCGGTCTTCTCAAAATATAAGTTTGTCAAATAAATATTCTAATAATTTTTCGGTCTTGTTATTAATTAAAACAACATTGAACCACGAAAACGTTAACTGATTCTATCTTGGGGTGGCTGGGCCGGTGGCAGCGCTGTCTGCATACCGACTTTTTTGCATCTTTGAGTGTTAGAGACCCCAAAATTATGATCCTTCAAGAACTAAGGCATGTCCGTCTTCTTATATCTGTAGTTACTGCATTCTGTGCAGGATGTTTTGCGTGTGAATATAACGTCAGACGCATCTGACTTTAGAAAGTTTAATTAAATAAGAATAATTGTCTATATGGATTTTTGTTTGCTATTATTCGTGTAAGCTTAAAATATGCCGACGTGTCAAAATGGCTGATCTTAACAAAGAATTGAATGAGTATCTTCTTAGTAGTAAAAATGAGAAACAGTTTAAAATTACTGTACCTTCGGTAGCGATACCAAAAGCGAACATTGGAAAATGGTTCGGAAGAAGTGGAAATGAAGATAAAGAAGATTTAGGATGGGTACAAGGAGCACAAAAAGAATGTTGTCCGACTATGGTAGGTAGTTTGTAACATAACCGATATGTTTTAAAGAAACTAAAGCTTCTAAAATAACACACTTAAATGATTTTTATCTTTTTTTAACAGACAAGAATTCAGAGGCTAATAGCATTTGTTGTATGTTTTTCCTTGGGTATACTTTGTTTCTGTCTATCTGCAGTTTATATTCCAGTTTTACTACTTAAAGCAAGAAAGTTTGCACTCCTGTATACATTAGGAAGTGCTTTCTTTTTGGCTAGGTAAGTTTTTGTGTATAAAAAATAATTTTTATAAATAAAACATTAAATATTAAACATGTTTTTACAGCTTTTGCTTCCTCCTGGGTCCGTTAAGTTACCTAAAATCGTTATTCACTGCTGAAAGAAGATGTTTTAGTATGTCGTACTTAGTGACACTGATAGGAACACTTTATTTTGCTCTACATTTACAGTCTACCCCATTAACAGTACTTTGTGCTGTTTTACAATTAATAGCCATGTTGTCATTCTTGGTAAGTCATATACCTGGTGGAACTAAAGGTCTAATGTTCTTTACAAGAATGTTCAAATCTTCAGTTAATTCTACTTTGCCTGTATGATATAAATATTTAGTTATCAAATACATATATATGAAATCAATACTGTATATTTAATTTTTATATTTTATAAGATTTCCATGGATTAAATATACAGATATATAATAATAAATGACACATGGTCCTCATATGGATTTGTCCAAGGTACCAATATATAAAAAGACTGACTTTTCTACTAAATAATCAAACTTTTTGCAATGTATATAACAATTTTTATTTTAAAACAGTTTTTAAAAAGTAAGAGGTCCAAGGTACTCTAAATGAAATTATGTCATAAGTACAATCTTTGTATATATTGTATTTATATTTGTAAAAAAATACATATTTATTATTTCTATATATTGTATTACACATTTAGTATTTACTGTAACTGTATAATAAAAAATTTTCCTCATATTCGTTAACTATACGAAATAAGCAATAATAATTATCAGTATCCCAACTATTTTTAAAAAAGAATATCAGACTCGAGTATCGATGTGTCGAGTAGATTTCGTTTTATCATTAATTAAACATTATAATACATAACTTCAACAATAATTACAATATTATAACAGATCGAAACAGTACCTAACAATAATCACTAACTTTTTTTCTTTTGTTTCGATACTTTCGTAGCCTTTACACGATTGGGATTACCTTGTATTCGTTTCACTTTCAATGGTAAATATGTAACATTTTCGGCGTTATTAACTTTCGTCTGCTGTTTTCGTTGTTTCCAATTTTTGTCTTTGCGGATATTTATATATCTTGAATGTTTCTTAACATGTGTATACTCATCATCATTACCACTCACTGCAATGAAATCATTTGAATCTATTGCTTTTGCAACAGATTCACTTGTAGAAGTTTCTATTGCAACAGGTGGAACAAACGCTCTTTCATTACGGGAAGATCTATACATATATACATCGGTAGATAATGTAAATTTATTTGATTCTGACGGTTTAATCTGTGACTCAGGTTCGGTACTCATGTCGTCTGTTTCATACAGCTCTGACTCTTCAGAACAGCTTAGTTGTTCAAATAATTTAAATGTCTTTTTTGGTAAAGGTACATCCTTAAAAATATCATGTATCATCTGATGCAATGGATAAAAATAATGATCTTGTGATTCTTTCACAATATTCTGAAATTAAAACCAAAAGATTGATTAAAACCAAAAGATTTAAAATTAACATGACATTACTTAAATCTCTAAATTATTATACCTTTGGTGCACATGCAGCAGATGCAAATCCTATGGTATTCAATGTAATAGTTTTCAACTCGGGTAATAGCAAGAGTGGTACTTTATTATTTTGTGCCATCTGAATAATATGCCTTATTAAAAGTGGTGGTTCTATACTTGCATCCATTAGGACACAACAAATATCATTTTTCTCTAAAGCCCTTGTAATTGCATTAATACCCAAAACAACAGAATTTCTAAAAATACAAATAATATGAATGCTTGTAAATTAAAATAACATGTATCAGTTACCAAGATAGTTACCCTATCTTTGGGTCTGGAACATTTTCCACTTTTGAAATTGCCTCCTTTTTAGCTTGTGCACGTTCTTCTTTTTTCATGTGCCTTAGTTGTGACCATGGAATTGAATGAGAAGGGCGTTTAATTACCGGCATTAATCTATAAGAATCAATTAAAAAATGTATTACATATTAGTAATGTTTACCATCCAATACCTTCTCTAAAACTTACTTCTTTAGAAGATCTTCCAAGACTTTACATTTATCTGCACTTACGATCGGCCTAAAGTATATAATGTATTAGAAAATATAACCATTGATTAAACTACATAAACACTACAACGTGTGAAAAATAATATGTACTGTACCAGTAACTATCTTGTGGTTGAGCTAAGACATTTCGCAGTCCTTTATTTGGCGCTTTTTTCGCTGACAGAGAATGTTTTTGCTGCTGTTTTGTCAATACCGGCGTACTCATGATTAAATTATAATTCATTCATTAGTAGAGGTTACGTTTCCCATGAGACAGATGAATCGTGCAGGCCGAACTTTGAATTTCGTGTCGGTAAAACAGGCCGAACACACCTCAATTATCGCATGCTATTGTAGTTGCAATGTGATACACTTCAGAATCTGAAAGGCATAGTTCCTGAAAAATATATAACAGAGATTAAATAGAAAAAAAAAGCATAAATTTCGCAGTCAATTCACTCGTATTATTTGCTGCATAATTAATAAATGTACCATAGAAATAATGATACAGTTGTTAATTAGTCATCAAATAATAACGATTACCCAGGTCTCACCACGAGCAAGTTGCTGCGGTTGGAGACCTGCCCTACCTCATCCCATCCACCCTCCATTTATGCATATTTTTACTTTCAAACAATAATGAATTCCTCTCGAAAATTGTTAGAAGAAAAATATTTGTTAGTCAACGTAGCGAATTTCTATCAAATGAAAAGCAGAAATTATGTGTTCTGTGAACAAGGGCGAGATCTGGCGCCTGACCAGTCATAGATAAAGAAATTTACGACCTTTCTAATGTACGTCTCTGATTGAAATATCTTCGCCAGGGTTGATTTCATTCTACCATTGCGTATCAAACAACTTCGTTCTTTCTAAATTCCATATTTTGTGATTTTCTTTTTATTTTATTTTTAACCGACTTCGAAAAGAAGGAGGTAATTAGTCATTTGTAATTAGTCAAAAATCATACAAGTTCCTTTTCCAGGAACTATAAAATTACTATAGTTATACGTTCTATATGGTAATATTGCAATCCCGAAAATACTTTTCTGAATTTAAACTATTGTTTCCCAATTAAAAAATATATAAATCTTTTTATAGTAGCTCTTAGCTTGATATCGCTTTCTAAAAGTTATCTTTAGAAAACGATATCAATTACCAGGTCACACCCCGTGGAGGTGGCTACGTTAGTGACCCACCCTAAAATCATAAGAACGTGAAACCATTCAAAACAGACAACATAAAATAAAAATTTAAGCAATACAATCTTGAAATAGAAAATAAAATTAACATCCTAATATCAGAAACAATTGAGAAAATAATAATAATTTAACAATAAAATGCTATAACGGAAAACATAATTATTAGGATTAGATATACAATAACATGAAACCATTCAAAACAGACAGCATAAAATAAAAATTTAAACAATACAATCTTGAAATAGAAAATAAAATTAACAACCTAATATCAGAAACAATTGAGAAAATAATAATAATTTAACAATAAAATGCTGTAATGGAAAACATAATTATTAGGATTAGATATACAATAACGTGAAACCATTCAAAACAGACAACATAAAATAAAAATTTAAACAATACAATCTTGAAATAGAAAATAAAATTAACATCCTAATATCAGAAACAATTGAGAAAATAACAATTCAACAATAAAATGCTGAAATAGAAAATATAATTAACATCATAATTGCTGTAACAATTAACAAAATAACAATTCAACAATAAAATGCTGAAATAGAAAATATAATTAACATCATAATTTCAGTAACAATTAAAAAATAATTCAACAATAAAATGCTGAAATAGAAAATATAATTAACATCATAATTTCGATTGCAATTGAAATGAAAAATGCCGACAACAGAAAATATAATTACCATTACAATCTTAGAGTATGTTTTAAATAAATAGAACATAATTAAAATAAGAACATGAAATATAATTGATGTGCAAATCAATAAGAAAAGAATAATTTATTTCAATAAAGCAATAAACGAAAAAGAAATAGGAGAAATAAAATCGCGAGTTGACCATTCAACGAGCTGGGTATTGAACTCGTAAAATTTCGAGTTCAATACGTCCTGGACGGTATTATTCATACCGTCCAAGGAAAAATACAAAAAATGAAAAAACAAATTAGCGAGCATAGTGACAGAATGACTGTCCATCCGAAGATGGAGAGCCATTAGTAGTTCCCCTCTTCTGGGCAAATTTTGCCGGGGCTCTTCAGCATATAGCTTCTTCTTTCTTCGGCAATAGCCTCACAAAAATCACTCGCGAAAATTTTACGTTTGCTCAGACATTTGTAAAAACGTAACACGTAAACGAGCAACGATCCCTTGAATCGCTACTCGCATACCTGCACAATTTTTGCAAATGTCCAAGCACAAAACACTTTTTAATTTCACTTCACTTCACTTCACTTCACTGCACATTCACTTTAATACTTCATTTTTGTAATCGGGTCTAGTACCACGACTACGACTTACAAACTAATAAGGCTTGGCCTTGAAAAAATCAAGAGAGAATGCTAAATTAATTAATTAATAAACTAATTAATTTGCATTTTCATTTTTCCTCTCGATTTTTTAATTTCCAACCCCAGATACAAGCTTCTCACGTATTAGAGGAGAATACGAAGAGAAACATGAAAGCTTGCTCTGGCCCTGCCTACTTATAAACTAAACTCAATCACACCAGAAGTAAACTACCTGCCTGCCTATCGCTATATTTAAAAAAGGGCAAAAATCATTCTCTCAAAAATTCACTCCACGGTTCTCATACAACCACCCGGGTGCAAAAATGCCTACACCTAGAGAGAACGTCCCGGGACGCCTCCGACACCCGAGTTCAATTCAACTTTCACACTCTAATAAAATCATACCTGTTTGCTGAAATCGACTGACAAATAATAGTGAACATTATGCTAAAGTAATACATCTTATTTTCGTATTCGGTTGAATTATCTAATGTAAAAATTTTGCAATTTATTCTTGATAAGTATTTTGCAATGTTATAGTAAGTTAAGATTGTTAATAAACGATACAAATCCCACATCCTAACCACACACACACATGTGGAACTTATATCGTGGTACACTATTGGTTCACTACTTTTGTCAGTCGCCAAAATGTATACTTAAAACTAAACCTTGTCCACCGCCCTCCACCCACGCGAGTACATCTAAGTACCCGAATGAGCTTTGGGCATAAAAATGAACAAGGCCAAAGGTATTTTCACCTACCAGTTTTCTTCATGTGTGCTGAAATGCCTAAGCTAAAACGTATGATTAGCAAAAACTAAAGATGATATTCTCACTTTATTAAAAGTAAGAATATCGGCGAAATTTCACGGCTCCGATTTAGTATATGGGCTGGCCCCCCCAGGGGGTTTTATTTTTAATAAAAGTGACTCGACTTTGCAAATATAAAGCTTGAAGAGCAAATACAGAAAAGCAAAGTTGAGCAACTATGACATAAAACATGGTGCACTGCTAATATCAGTTGGCAACGGAGGTTCTTAGGCCCCCTGGACTTGCGCCCGACGCTACATACCACCCACCCCGCCTGGACGTCGTAACGCCAGGACAAGATGCACCCCTTCGCTAAGAGCGCTACCCGCCCGTCCAACACGTTGCATCCAACGGTGTCAGATTGACGGACGCCCATAGTATAGACAAAAGGACTACAGTTTAGAATATGGTAACATACTTTCATATGTTCCGTATTCTAAAGCTGCGCCTGCAAAGGCCTAGTAATGCATGGGTTTATCTCCCATGAGATGGTGTTTCACGGTCTTATGCCGCGGAATCCTTGTAACTAATTTTATTAAATAAATAAAATATTGGATTGAGTTTAAAAACCAAAAGGATTCCCACCAAATACTAGTCAGTGCATTGTCATATTTACTCTCGCGTTGGAAATTTTTCGCAACACTAATTAAAATAGAAAATCCTGATCTAAAAACATAACTAGTACATAAACATCTAACGGGCTAATATTTCACTATACTGATGAATGATGAGTGTGAATGATGAGTGTTTAGGGTCGAGAACCGTGAACGTGACAGAATGAATTTGAAGTATGAACGAAGAGCTTTCTACAATGCTTGAAGAGCAAATACTGAAAAGCAAAATAGAGCAACTATGACGCAAAAACGGTGCACTTCTAATATCAGCTGGCAACGGAGGTTTTCGGGCCCCCTGGACTTGCGCCCGACGCTACATACCACCCACCCCGCCTAGGAAAGGATGCACCCCTTCGCTAAGAGCGCTACCCGCCCGTCCAACACGTTGCATCCAACGTGTCAGATTGACGGACGCCCATAGTATAGGCAAAAGGACTGCAGTTTATTAAATGGAACATATGGATGTGCGCCACATCCTAAACTGCGCCTTGAAAGGCCTAGTAATGCATGGTTTTATCTCCCATGAGATGGTGTTCACGGTCTTATGCCGCGGAATCCTTGTAACTAATTTGATTAACTAAATAAAACATTGAGTTTCAAAACCAAAAGGATTCCCACCGAATACTAGTAAGTGCATCGTCATTGTTACTCTCGCGCTGGAAATTTTTCGCAACACTAATTAAAATAGAAAATCCTGATCTAGCCACATCACTAAAGGGGAGCTTTAAATTATGCTTGAAGAGCAAATACTGAAAAGCAAAACTGAGCAAATATGACTCAAACATTCGTCCACTGCTAATATCAGCTGGCAACGGAGGTTCTTAGGCCCCCTGGACTTACGCCCGACGCTACATACCACCCACCCCGCCTGTTTAAGGCTCTAGGCCCAGGCAGGGTGCACCCCTTCGCTAAGAGCGCTACCCACCCATCGAACACGTTGCATCCAACGTGTCCGAGTGGTGGACGCCCATAGTATAGGCAAAAGGACTTTAAGACAGCTTAGCGTATGGGATGCAACATACTTAAATGTTCCGTACTCTATGGCTGTGCCTGAAAAGGCCTAGTAATGCATGGTTTTATCTCCCATGAGGTGGTGTTCACGGTCTTATGCCGCGGAATCCTTGTAACTAATTTTATCAAATAAAAACCAAAAGGATTCCCACCGAATACTAGTCAGTGTATAGTCATATTTACTCTCGCGCCGGAAATTTTTCGCAACACTACTTAAACTTGAGAATTCTAACGGGGTAATATTTACCCTCGCGTTGAAAATTTTTCGCAACACTACTTAACTTGAAAATTCTAACGGGGTAATATTTACTCTCACATTGAAAATTTTTCGCAACACTACTTAAACTTGAAAATCCTTACGGGGTAATAGTTACTCTCGCGTTGAAAATTTTTCGCAACACTACTTAAACTTGAAAATCCTAACGGGGTAATATTTCACTACACAAGCGTATGCGGGTGGATAAATGATTATGTGATGGAGTTCGTGAGGCTGATGTGTGAATGATGAGTGTTTAGGGTCGAGAAATGTGAACGTGATAGAATGAATTTCAAGTTCGAAAGAAGAGCTTTCTACAATGCTTGAAGAGCAAATACTGAAAAGCAAAATAGAGCAACTATGACGCAAAAATGGTGCACTTCTAATATCGGTTGGCAACGGAGGTTTTCGGGCCCCCTGGACTTACGCCCGACGCTACATACCACCCACCCCGCCTAGAACAGGGTGCACCCCTTCGCTAAGAGCGCTACCCGCCCGTCCAACACGTTGCATCCAACGTGTCAGATTGACGGACGCCCATAGTATAGACAAAAGGACTGCAGTTTATTAAATGGAACCTATGGATGGGCGCCACATTCTAAACTGCGCCTTGAAAGGCCTAGTAATGCATGGGTATATCTCCCAGAGATGGTGTTCACGGTCTTATGCCGCGGAATCCTTGTAACTAATTTGATTAATTAAATAAAACATTGAGTTTAAAAACCAAAAGGATTCCCACCGAATACTAGTAAGTGCATCGTCATAGTTACTCTCGCGTTGGAAATTTTTCGCAACACTAATTAAAAGAGAAAATGCTGATCTAGCAACATCACTAAAGGGGAGCTTTAAATTATGGTTGAAGAGCAAATATTGAAAAGCAAAATCGAGCAAATATGACTCAAACATTCGTCCACTGCTAATATCAGCTGGCAACGGAGGTTCTTAGGCCCCCTGGACTTACGCCCGACGCTACATACCACCCACCCCGCCTGTTTAAGGCTCTAGGCCCAGGCAGGGTGCACCCCTTCGCTAAGAGCGCTACCCACCCATCGAACACGTTGCATCCAACGTGTCCGAGTGGTGGACGCCCATAGTATAGGCAAAAGGACTTTAAGACAGCTTAGCGTATGGGATGCAACATACTTAAATGTTCCGTACTCTATGGCTGTGCCTGAAAAGGCCTAGTAATGCATGGTTTTATCTCCCATGAGGTGGTGTTCACGGTCTTATGCCGCGGAATCCTTGTAACTAATTTCATCAAATAAAAACCAAAAGGATTCCCACCGAATACTAGTCAGTGTATAGTCATATTTACTCTCGCGCCGGAAATTTTTCGCAACACTACTTAAACTTGAAAATTCTAACGGGGTAATATTTACCCTCGCGTTGAAAATTTTTCGCAACACTACTTAAACTTGAAAATTCTAACGGGGTAATATTTACTCTAACATTGAAAATTTTTCGCAACACTACTTAAACTTGAAACTCCTTACGGGGTAATATTTACTCTCGCGTTGAAAATTTTTCGCAACACTACTTAAACTTGAAAATCCTAACGGGGTAACATTTCACTACACAAGCGTATGCGGGTGGATAAATGATTATGTGATGGAGTTCGTGAGGCTGATGTGTGAATGATGAGTGTTTAGGGTCGAGAAATGTGAACGTGATTGAATGAATTTCAAGTTCGAAAGGGGAACTTTATACAATGCTTGAAGAGCAAATACCGACCCCCTTGGGGGCCAGCCCATATACTAAACTGATGCCAATTTCACAAGTAAAATCGGAAAAACGTTTCAATTTCAAGAGCGATTTCGTTATCAAAGTAAGTAGTTATAATAATTAATAGTATTCATGCTTATTACTTTGATATTGAAATCCGCTCATCGCGAAATAAATTCTTGTACATATAAAAAAGAAAGTGTATTGTGAAGTCGGAGGGTCATCCGACTTCTCTACATTTTTAAACTCGAAATCTATATATGTAAATATGTACAAGAAAACCCTATCCTGAGCTAAGGCATAAAATACACAAAAAAGCAATTTGCACGATTATCATTGTATAAAATGATACAGTGATATTCGTGGGTCACTATGCTCGCTCAAAAAATAAAAATTACAACCAATTCCCGTGTCGCTACGGACCATTCGTCCTACGACATGATGGGAATCGGAGGAACTTTAAAGCATGCGACTCACCGATCGTTGACTTGCACTACTGCACTCGCCACGCATCTTATTGTTAGATTGACCCATAGCTCGTCTGTTGGCTCGTCAAAGAAATGGTATCCCCACTGGCCAAAGCACTCATCTGAAAGCATAAAAATCACGATTCTTGAACGATATATGTTTTCTCTCAATTTGTTGTAGTTACTATGCTAATACATAGGATAATTTAAAAATATGCATGCAAAACTATATGGGAATAACTACACCATACAACACGGCAAAACACATGCAAATACATCACAAAACACTTGAAGATCAAAACCATAGAACACTATAAAATATTTGCAAAATTATAGTAAAACACATAGGGTACCAATCCATAAAACCTACTAATAAATCCGTATAAATATGCCAAAACACAAAGGGTACTACTCCATAAAACCCATTAATAAATCCGTATAAATATGCCAAAACACATAGGGTACCACTCCATAAAACCCACTAATAAATCCGTAAATATATGCCAAAGCACAAAGGAAACCACACCATAAAACACAATAAAGCACATGCAAGTACATGGGGTACTACACCACACAGCACACTAATGCATTTGTATAAAAATGTCAGAACACATGGGTGACCACACCATAAGTCGCACTAATATATCCGTATAAATATTCCAAAACATGGGAAACACTATAGGAAACACCATAGGCACACACAGTAACACTTGTGGTAACACACTGATAAATCCATGCACGAATATCCATAGTGTCAACCCGTACCGGTATATGTTTGACAGCTCGTTCCGTATCCTTTGGCGGTCGCGATAAGACTGACTAGATTTGACCTTCCTCCAGGTCGCGCTTGTACCGGCGCGCGGCGCGCGCAATCAAGCATGACGTTCCGTTTCACCGGTTCCGCAGATTTAACTATTTCTATCTGATATTTGTTAATATTTGTTTAATTATTATTTTATATTTTACAATTGTTTATTAATCAAATTATTGTTATATCTATTTAAATTGTTTATTTCTTTACATTTCCGCGTGGGTATATTGCAAAATTTTGTTTAATTATTCTATTAAAAATTATTTAATTATTATTTTTAATTTTACAATTGTTTATTAATCAAACGAACGAACTGCGCCCTACAGAATGAACGAGAAACTAAATTTCTGGTCTGTTTTACCTTGTTGACGTCTTTCGCGAGTGAACAATCAACGAAATTGTAGTTTTCAAATTACTTCTACCTGAAGACTTGTACATCATCCCTTGGGTGCTCGTTTTATTCTATCCGACCCAAAGAATATCAGTCTGGTCCCTATTTGGACATACGATTCACAGAAATGTTTATATTACGAAGAAATCAATGCAGGTGAGTCCGATCCGCCATTTTCTTGACCGTTGACAGACAGCAATTTCAATATTTTATAATTTTTTGACGATTTGGATAATATAAGGACCAGACTACCATTCTTTAGGGCCTCCTGGACATGTCCCTCAAATTGTTTTGCATTCTGTTTAGAAATGAAGACGTAATTTGAAAACTCGCGTCTAGGGATTTTTCTAGGGTCTGTCGGTAAAGTTTTCGACGCTCGCATCACCTTAAGGGAGTAGACACGGGCAATGCAGCGAAATGACATTACCGGCAAAAATGGGCCTATCTAGGAATAATTTATGAATTGGATAATATAAGGATAATATAAGGACCAGACTACCATTCTTTAGGGCCTCCTGAACCCGTCTCTTAAATTTGTTTACATTCTGTTTAGAAAATTCGTTTTTAGGGATTTTTCTATGGGAGTAGCAACACGAGCGCCACTGCTGTGCCGACGTCTTGCGGGAATTTCGTCGTTGTAAACCGTACCATTGATTCCAGTGGCGCTTAGAAAGGAAGTTTGTGAAAGTAAAAAAGTGGTAGGTACTACGCCACTGGACCAAAGTGCAGGGGAATGGATAATGTGCAGAATACGCTTTCGAAAGGGAGCAGGACCGCAGCAGTGCACGCAGCAAGCCAAGATTGTCAAGATGGATGCTTGGTGTCGACGGTGCGGAGTATGGATTTTACCGCGTGATTCGTAAGCAGTTAGGCTGCCGTTTTTCTTCAGTGAGTGAAAGATTGTGCATCGGGAAGTATCGGCATTCACGGTGTCCTAAGGTGTTCTTATGGTGTCTCGGTATGCAGCGTTAAGTAAACGGAGTGCTTTTATATAGTGATGAGAAAAACACCTAAAACCAGTGCAGTAGCAGCGGCCTTCTACAATGGTGGATAACAATTGTATTATCGAGGGAAACGTCAAATTTCGCGACGGCAAAAAAGTAAGTTCATTTCACCGTTTAACATTCTGTTAACTCCTTATCGTTTCTCCATTTACAATCGAAACGACCAATTAATTCGGCCGAGATAATTGCCGGACTCGTTATCTGTCAAAATTAATGCGGCCTAATTTTTCGCGTTAATTACTGTAACGCTAAAATATTACACAACGCTACGAAGCTCGTTCGGTTTTTTTTTTCGCGAATAAATCGTTAGGCTGAACTGTAAATCAATCCCAACTCGTGTACGCGAAGTAATTATCTTAGAGTCACTTAAGCACGATGCAGTTACGATAAAAAAAAAGAAAAATTATATAATGTGCGGAACTTGCGCTAACGCGCTCCTCTAATACTTGTGCATTCTATATAGAGTGTACGTACACAAGTATTTATTCAATTAGTAAGGGATTGAAAATTTTATTCCACCACATGCATAATAAATTTTAACGCGCATAAAAACTTATGCATTATTAAAAAAAAATTTAAATGTACTGTACCCGAGTTTAATTTTATTAACATCAGCACTCCAAATTTTAAACATTTTAAAATTGCTATATTAAAGTTTAAAAAATTTCAACTTCAATTAAACCTTTCGTTATTTGCTTCAATTCGAAATATTTATTAATAGTGTGCCTCATTAAGGATGGTCAATAAAGTTTGAATGCTTCACTGTATATGTATACATAGTGATACATATATTTACTTTGTTGAATCTATTGAAACTTGGATACAATGCTAAAGTTTCCATTTGTGTAGAAGTCAAATTAAGGTGTCTTGACATGAGTTCAATACTCATTACAACTATTAAATGGCTTGTTGAAAGGCCAAGAAAGTATTTAATGCGAATGAAATGAAGAGTCATAAAGCCATGAAAAAACAAGCTCATTTTCTTTTATTTACATTGGGGTACCGAAAGAAGTCATTCAGATCGAAAAGGGTAGGAAAGTCTTTTATTTTTATTTTTATCACAGGGGAGCAGAGGGTCTAAATGGGTTCAAACAAATGTATAATACATATGTACATATGTAAAGTATATGTAAACATATGAATATGTACATTGAACTGAAAAAGTAATGGCACATTTTAAGTTTCTCCGATTATTTTTACACGAATATTTTTTTTAATCTACTATAAATGGTAATTAATGAAGTTTTAAAAGAAAATTTATTTATTTTACAGTGGAAATCACGATGGTGTGTAATGAGAAAATTGTCACCAGTTGCAGGTAAACCTGTTTTTTAAATATTTCTTAACGAATCACATTTAATGCATTTATTGTGCATCTGTTTTTATGGTTAACAATAATATCATGCATGCAATGAATCACTTTGTACACTGCCTGACTAACAAATATTACATGTGACATGAACAATAGATAAGAGACAGGAAATATTGCACATTTTGCATATCTCTGTTGCTGGTGTCATTTTATAGATATGAAACTATTGTTCTGTTTACGTAATATCTCTGCACTCGTTAATTTATTGGGCAGAGGGTGCGTCAGAGGGGTGCGATCACCTCCATCGTCCCCCAAGAGTTACGAAATCCCAAATAAATTGATTTACATCGTAAAATAATATTGTTATTGTTACTACCTTAGTTTTAATAAATTTTACATAAATTATTTAACCCTCCAATGGTATCGGATGGGTCAGTCGCGACCCGTGCGTTTACTGTTTCACCATGAACGAAACAGATGTTGCAAATTGGCCGGAAAAATTCTATACCCTGCCATAATTTCTAATCCTATCTCTTGAAAGAATTTCCTAACTTGTTATCAGCATAAAGAATTCCTCCCTCTGGTGCTGTTTAGGGTGGCAGCTGGCACATCTGTTACAGATTGACTAGCTGAAGAAACAAAAAACAAAAGAGAGAAAAAAAACATTTCCAAGAAGAGCTTTGCTTCTAGCAATAACCATTAATACCTGGCCCTTGTAACTCGAGGATATTTTAAAACTTCGGGACCCCTGTAGCTCATAAATTTTCCTTAGGGAGAATTAGTTAAGAGTACATAGAAGGGTCTAAATGGATTTTAGCGCGTTTCTACGTCTGCATGTAAACCGTATTAATAGAATATACGTAGAATACATCAGTCGTTTGCTGATACATTTTTCAGACGTTTCGCGTTGCAAAAGATGTATTATTCCTCTTATTTATGTAAATTCGATACGACTCTATCGCTGACGATCGGACGGGAACAATGGCCGTTTAACAGCTCGTGTTACTCCATTCATTCCGGGGGTTAGTTTACAAAGCATGCGATTCATTTACAGATTGCCTTCATTTGCAACTGTACGGAGATAGCAAGGATCGATATAAGCAAGGTCAAACGAAAGCTTCGTTAAGCTTGCAACATTTTCTCGGCGTGGAGAGTGGTTTCACTCTCGATAAGGAATCCAATACCATTGCCATAATATGCCAGGATGTGACGGTCGTTCTGGCCTTCGATACCAGAGAACGATTGATACAATGGCAAGTGAAGATTTCGAACAACTTGGGCGAAGGTACATACGTTAGTTAAAAAAGAGAAATTATCAGTCACCCCTTGTGGGGCTAACTGGGTACCTATTGAAACTGTAACCCCTCCTATTAGCGCGACGTACGTTTCGTTGCAACGTAGGCTTCTCTTGGTTAAGGGTGAGCTTAGGGATAGAAACCTCCCTCTATTAGCATTCTCTCTCTCTTTACAAAGTTCAACGCTGAAATTGTTAAAAAATATGTAGAAATTGAAATGGGTATTCGGTTGCCTGCGCAAGGGTCGAAGGTAGCTTAACACATAGTTGACCAAGTAACACATTCGCGCAGATCAACAGTTCCTGATACTAATCTCCACGGTGCCATCGAAAGCAAAGCTCACGAATGGCCCGGCCCATTTACACATTCAAGACCGTCGTTTCTGCATCACGGTCGGAGTGCCTCCCCGATTAGTCGGTATTTGGGAGATAGCTCATCTTCGGCGTTACGGAGTCGTGGAGGGAAGATTCTGTTTCGAGGGTGGCTCGAGATGCGGTCGGGGGGAAGGGCTGCACGTGTTGATAACGGATCAAGGAGAAGATATCGTGAAGATGCTGCAGTTAGCCGCGGAAGGAAAGCTGACGAAAAAACGACCGCTTTGCAAGGAGCAAATAGTACAGGACAGCCCTCGACGTCAGTTCTCCCGCTCGGAAACGAGAGCCAGCGATTTCTTCCCCTCGACTGTTTACTCGTCCACGTACGAGGAACAGTGTGACAGCTGCAAGAACGAGAGCTCGCCCTATTGGTCGTCCGCGGAGAGCAGCCAACAAACTGAGCTTGACAGGGATTACAGTAGCCGTGACACCGTCTCCGTTTCGGAATTGCCTGACCAGCCAGGGGAGTGGCGCAGCTGTTCGCTCACTCGTCAAGGAACATCCGCTCTCGAGCGATGCGCTAGCTGTATCAGTAAACTGGGCACCGTCTCGAAATCCTCCACTCTAGTCACAGCGATGGGTGCGAGCAGCGTCAGCAGCCCGGCTGGTACGATCAACAATTTGGGCTGCCATTTGCAGCCACGCACCCTGGATCGGCTCTCCTTGTCCTCGTACAGTAGCAGCAGCCACGACAGCGATTATTCGAGCTCCCAACAAGCCGAGTGTCATTGTTCGCAGACGAAGAGTTCGCAAGCGAACGCGCAACGCGCCACACCGAGTCCGAACGCGCTGCCACCGAGACCACCGAAACCGTCCCAAAGCACTGCCACCAAGAAGGTTAAGAAACCCCCGATGCCACTGCCAAACGAGCAGATCTGCGTGCACTCGCGTAGCAAGCAGCAGCTCGTCCCTCGTAACGCGACCAGCGTAGTTGGTCCTTACGAGAATTACGACGTGCCTAAGTCGATCTTGGGCCATCACATGTTGTTGGAACAAAATCCTCAACCGGATCAGTATTACGACACGCCAAGGAAAATCAAAGAATGCCTAGCACTGCCAAAAACGTATCCTAATTACGATACCCCTCAAGCGCCACAAGCGGTCGTGTTGCAACAGTGCGGCTGCCCGGCCAAGCTCACCGTTCAGTCCCCCAGGTCTTCTGGTTGTCCCTGTCAGAATGTGATGAGTTGGGCTGGCTTCGTACTGCCGTATTGTAGACGAGGAGCGGGTATAGAGCCGACCGGGGTAGCCGTGCACCCCGTCAAACTGTCTGGAGAAGGAAAGATGCCTGTGGTGAACGCGAGCGGAGAGATCGCGATCTACGCGACCGCGAAACGTGCTAACAAATCAGGGACTACGGAAGAGAAGAGCAAAGACAACTGCGAATGTCCGTCAGATAATAAATCCAACAATTACGAGAACGTCGAGCCGGTTATCGACACTCAGCCTGAGTCCAAACAAGCTAATTACGCGAATATTGATTTCACCCAATCTCTTGAACACTACGAGAACAGCAAAGACCTTCTGGCTAAGAGCGGCATATCGCAGGAAGAAATAGAGAAATTTTCCGATCAGATCAAGGACGAAACGCCAGAAGCACCCGTTGAAGATTCCTCCAAGATATGTCAAAAATGTGGCCACCTCAAAGACAGAGAGAACGACTACTTAGTCATGGATCCCGAGAAGCAAACGCCAAAGAAACCGTTCCCCGGTTACTTACCCATGCAACCGGCCCACAATGCTTGCTCCAAAGAGATCTTGTCCAGAATCTGCAGCGGTATCAAGAGTTCGAGCAATCCTGCGTTATCAGGCTCGGCGATAACCGAGGCTGGCAAGAAGCGATCCGATTCGGAGTTTCGTGTACCTGGTTCAGCTATGTTGGCTAGCCCGTATCTTAGACGTCGTTACCTGGACGGAAACAGCGGAACAGAGTCCAGTGGGAACATTAGTATGTTGTTGAGAAAACGATCTTACTCTGCAGAGTCTGCTCACTACTTGGACGACGAGAATCACACCTTTCCATCCACCCTCACCATTCACAAGTGTTCCAGCGAGGCAGACAAGGCTTCTCTGGTCAGAGGAGAGGCGCATACTTCCTGCGTTAATTCAGAGATCAAAATTAATCAGGATAACGGGCAGATGTCGATTGTCTCACCTCAGCCGTCGTTCATCAAGATCAGACGTTCATCTTCGGTTCCATCAAAGACCGGTCACAATAGAGATTCCTCGAGTAGCAACGATTCTGGTGTCTCCACTGGATCCCTCAGTCACAGAACGGCGGAGTTCGTGGAGTTTGAGTTGTCATTGGTACCTTCGACGTCCACGAGAAAACAGAACGTGTTGTCTGTCTACCGGAAGAGTCCACCGCCTACGTGTTATCACAGCAGTTTACCAAGGAAATCAAAGTCGAGCGATCCGCTCCGGGAATTGTCTTTTCAGTTTCAGAAGATTAAAATACCCACCAAGTCCTCGTCGGCGGAAGCCGATATACCGACGTGTTTGCCGAAGGGTGCGAAGGGGTATAATAGTCCAGGGGAAGTGTCCAGTGCTCCCTACATTGACTCGCGAAGCACGAGCAGCGGTACATCCGACATGTCTGATTATATCGAGACGTTGTCGTTGTCGTCCCACTCGTCATCCGACACGCCGGACAGTCTGAGGTAAGATATTCAGGAGAATATGCAGATTCTTTTGTACTTAATACCGCAGAAATCTTACCGAGTATCAACTCTTTTGTTCAATTTTTTTTTTGTTCCTTTCTTTTCAGACTGGGCGGAAGAGCAGTAGCAACAACGCTACGCCCTCGCAGCGGAAAAGAGTATTACAAGATCGACAGAAGTATTCTTGTGGAACAAGGAAGAACGTTGACGACACCATCGGCCAATTACGCGAACATTACACCGGTACTTGAGAAAAGCGAGTCCCCTTCGCCTGGATACATGAGCAGTTCTCCCTTTGAACAACCACAGCCCACTCGTGAACACTTTCTGTTTCCCGATGTAAGAGATCAGAACCTGACGCAAACTCGCAATCGTTATTACACTCGTGATACCGTGGTTTTTAATTTGTATATTTCTTTTTTCTTTTTGCAGGAAGCTTGAGCGTAGCAACATTGTTTGGGAAGAGAGGGGAAAACTTGAAGTTCCTAGGAATTCCAAACAAAATCTGTAAGAGTATTCATGGTAGAAATGATAATTGGGGCATCGTGACTGTTTACACTATACGCGGGTATCTAGTACACCATTCGCCCTGTGAGTATGTTTTGTCAAAAGCAGTGCTTAAGAAGAAGAACGATCATCCTTCGTTGGTCCAAGAAACAGAGTAAGATACGGATACTTTACGACTGTTATACGTTCCCAATTTTCTTTACGTCTTTTAACGATTCCATATGTCTTCTAAACATTCGAAGCCGCACAATCAAAGGAACCTAAACCGGGTTAGATTCTAGGTTCTAGCGTATAGTTGAAATGAAGTCAATAACTGAACACTTCCTACAACGACTCAAACAATTTCTAAAATATGCTCAATAAGAAACTGTAATAGTTTGTATAGTAAGAATCCTGCCCTAGGATAAATTGAAGAGGCGGTTTGCATCCATATATGTATACTTTGTATGAGTATATCGTTTTTTCGATATGTTTTATTTTGTATGAGTATATACTTCTATATAGAGTATTGTACAGCGGTTCAAACCGAGGAATGCAATTAACGGCTCTGTGTTTTTTAATACCGGTTCACGTAACACCATCGATTTGCATTCTAACATACAACCAAAAAAGAGGAAAAAAGAAAGAAAAGAAAATGCAATGAAAGTAGTTAGTTGCATTTAGCGTTCACAGGGTTTTTCAAACTTTTACTAGTTATTTTTTAATGGCTAAGATAACAATAATATAGCCGTCGATGGTCTTCATTTTTAACAAGATTTATACGATGGATATTGTAGTCTCTCTGGGCAATCAAAGATGGCACTATGTATAGATTATAAAGGAAATATCTTTAAAGAAAAAAGAAAAAAAAAAGAAAACTAAGGTCCTAAGAATACGTGAACGGATACAAAGGTCGAATTATTTTTATTGTATTTTTACCGCCTTATCCGCGGTACATCATTATCCTAATATGGCTTCGATTCGTCTATGATTTCCTATTTAGATTTCTATGTAGATCACGCAACGAATTAGTTGTTAGTCGTGAATTGCAATATTAATTTCCCTCTTTTGTATCGTAGGAATATGTACTTAAAATATTTTTTATTCATACTTAAGATAATCTATATCGTTTCGTGCGCGAAGAGCCTATATAATATGTCTATATGGAATTCTTTACCAAAAAAAAGTGGAAGAAGATGAAGCAAAAGAGAGAGAGAGAGAGAGAGAGAGAGAGAGAGAGAGAGAGAGAAATGAAAGAAGAATATTTATTTTTACTTCAATGGTGCAGGATCTTTTTGATAATAAAACTATTTATAATGTAGAGGATTAAGCAAGGAGCTAAGAGAAGAATCGAAGAGGAGAATCTACTTACAATTAGATTAGTTAGGCCTATTTTATGTCTGCACAGCTTCAGACTTTCTTTGATCACAATTTTAAACGATAATGAAATGAATGCATATGCAAGTATCTTGATCTCTGCGTTTATTTCTCTTCTTGCTCTGCTAATCTCTTGCACCGAGGATTAATCGACGCGTGTGATCGATGGATATTAATGCAGTGATACTGAACGCAATAATATAGCAATGCTAGGAGTTATATATGCTGATAAATAGAGAGAGAGAAAAAAAGAAATGAAGAATAAGAAAGAAGAGAATATGAAATATCGAATGTTTTCGCATTGAGATATTATTAAAGCAGATTAATTCTGTTTCATGTATAACATGTTAATGCTCCACGGGGCGGATAATCAAATCAGTATTCAGAATCAAAAAGATCAACGGTGAACAGAAGCGTTTTACCGTGCCGTATTAGAGGTTCATTGAACAATGTAAAGTTAACCGGAAATCACCATTCAAACGACAATATATCTCTGTATTTTGCATCCACAGAAACCCTCCCTTTAGCGAACAGCCAAAAATGGAATTGTTTTTACGTCGAACAGGAACAGAATTGTAATATAAAATCTACGTCCGTCGTGTGTTAAAAAGGAAACCCGGTGTGTTCTTGTCTTTTTAACAATTACATCGTATGTAGCAACGCCACGCTTATATCTTTTTTAACACGCTACGTTTTTTGAGAAAGAAAGAAAGAAGAAAAAAAATGGCAAATCGGTGGAGGAGTCACAGTTGTACTCTTCTTTCTACACAGGTGGATAACTTGTATAAAAAGAAACAAAATAAGATAACATATATTATATATGCCGCAGTTGACTCTATAACGAATTGTAAAAGTATTAAAGTAGTATTATCACAAGACTGAACAAGATGATAATAGTTGCTGTGTGGTTTAAATCGTAGGAGATATCTAAAGAGCTAGAGATTTAATAATATAATTTTCTCGTGCGCCAGCTCTCTTTGAGCGTTCTTTCTAATTGTAACCCCTTTCGAACTTTTTTAATGGAAGAAAAAAAAGATGGAAGAGATCTCTCTCTTTTATTTTCTACTCTGCATTCCGTGCGTCGAACGTGTATCGTGTCTTCTATAATATCGTATATATGGCGATTAACCCTTCTTTGGATTACAGGGGTCGTAACGGAGCCCTCTAAAATTAACAAGATGGTACTTAAACTAAATAATCCCCCGAAAATTTGGAACTCCAAAGAGGGGTTAAAAAAGGGAAGCAAGCGAGTGTTCTCTGGTTACTTTGCTTGGTACACTGTCTACCAAGTCACTGTCCAAACTTTACCGAATTTTTTATCCCATATAAAAATGAAAATAAAAAAACTCGTATTCTCCATACCGATGATTTATAGAACACGACACGAAGGTACTTAATATTGAGAGATCAGCTATCGTATGTAGTAGAATTAAAAATGAAGAAAACGATCGACCTTATATTTCTCTTCTATGGATCGTTGAGTCCCAGAGAGTTATTATTAGATTGTACTATTGTCGAATGAAAAAAAAAAGTATACTCTTTAATCTAAAGCCGATATCGTACCCCATACATTCAATGAAAAAATATTGTATACATTTAAGAATGATAACGGAGATCGATTCCGTTATATTGCACCGATGATTCCCAATCGCGATAACAATTTTTAAAAAAATGAAAGAAATGTTAACAGAGGATCATCGAGATTCCGAGTCCGTTTCCGTAAGATTGGGAATCGAGTTCTATAAACACATGCTAGTCAAAGTTAAGTACTACCGTAGTGATAATATATTTTTACTGTAAAAGGGACTATCGCGTATAGGTCGAAAACTGGACGCACGATATTCCAGACGAAGTAGTCGAACACTGTCGTCCTTAGTGAAAATGTCCTACCCGAAGCTACATTATCTGTACACGTATTACAAAAGATTATATAGAATTACTGAAATTTAATCTAGAAAAATAAGGATAAGATCTCGTGTTTAGAAATGTTAGGGCAATTGAGCTAAGGATGGTAGAGGGGATCGCAAGCGAAGTCGTTTCTTTTAAGGATTCAAGTTCGGTAACACACGAGGATGCGAGGGAATGAAGTTGGAAGCCTTGGAATCTCGTTTTTGTAGGACTTTTATAGGATTTCAGGAGTGTCATGGATCGTGCAAGGAAATCTTGAACCCCTTTAGGTAGTAACAGGTGACTGTATCAAATTTACCCGATCCTTTAAGCGTGGGGAAGGAAAGTTGGATACTTATTCGGAACGCGTGTTAATGCGAGAAGAAAAAGTTGTGTAGGAGGTTCTAGCAAAGTTAATCCGTTGGTTCATAATACTTGAAAAAGTGAGGAAATGGTAATGGAAGTTCTTGAATTCCATTTCCATAAAATTAACCCTTTCGTTACTTATAAAAGAAAGAAAGAAAGAACGCGTTTCGTGTGTTACGATGCAACAAAACTCCAATATAATCCATCGGAATCGCAATCCCTCCACGTATACGACGAGCTTGCGAGAACAAAATGGAATTGCTAAAAATCGTCAGGATAACGTGCGACAGTTTTCGAGCCTCGAACAACCATATCTAAGAATTTACTAACGATATACATAAATATATATATAAATATAAATATATTGACTACGAATAGAGGATAAAGTTTCCAAGGGTATTATATACACGCTCTGTTTATAATTTCTGTACATATAGTCGGTGTGTGGCATTAGCGTATTCGAGATCTTTTTTATTTTGTGATCCAAGAGAATCTGCCGATAAATGAGATGGATAAAGACGACTTTTACTTGTACATAATGAAACTAAAGAGAAAACAAAAGAAGGAACGGATAACGAGAACAGAGAGTAGTGTGATGAAATGCGCTCGAATCGTCTTCTGAAAGGATACATTCTCATGGTTTCGATTGATTTCACTTTTTACCACCCTACCACGATTGTTCGACAAGCGTGTTTGTAATTGCAGGTTCCACGGAGTGATAATTGATCCGCGGAGAGTGTTTAATGACGGGAGAGCGAGCCGTATTGTCGTCAGGGATTATTTATGCGATACGAGCAATCTGAAACGCTTTACCGCACACACACACATACACACATATACACGAGAGGGTAAAAGTTATAGTGGTATAAATTGTTTAATTCTTATTTTGAAAAACATTAATAGTTATAAATGTTATGACCAACCCTAGAAACTCTAGAAACACCAAACCTCCAACGATTATTTTTAAATAATCTTTTAAAAATTTTCTTATCTCAAATTAAAAATTTTACTTGCACCACTATAGTTTTCACCCCCTTTGATACATGAACTCTGTAGCATATGAATCTCATAGTAAAGGAGAAAGAGACTGGCGAAATTTCCCCTCGATTTGCGAATTCTCTATGTATCTCTATACTTTGCATTCGAAGAGAGGAGGCTATCGTTTGCACCACAAGCAATGAAATTCATTTTTCCTGCTGTCGATGCTACCGGTTGAACGAACGTTCACGATTGCACGCGATCGTAGAAATTACGGGTAAGAATGAAAGGAATCGTTGTATCCTCTCGCGCCTTTTAGTACTTAACGCGAAATCGAAATGGATCCTATGCGAACGTTCTTTCTAAAGTGCTATGGAATTATCTGGCGAACGTTTTAGCTCGAACCGGTAATAGCATGTCCATTCGATCGTTATAGCTTTTACTTGAGTCTTCATAGAGATCGAGGATCGGAAGCGAAGACTCGCGTTTTATTTAACTTAAATAAATCAATAGCGATTGGTTTGGAAAAGTCTGAAAGAGAGATTGGTAGCATCGAAGTACGAAATCTCTTGTACATAACATTTCCAGTAGACAGTCTGTTGATCATATAAATAATGATCGTGTGAATATGAAGGAACATGTACTTGTACAACCGCGAGCAACGATGACTTCCCTCAATCAATAGAAGTCATCGTTGCTCGCGGTTGTACGCGAATCATTCCAGATGAGTTTGGTCCGCGTAAACGTTTCGCATGTGATGTACAACCGTGCCATCTTTATTCATCTGTTACTTCATTCATTCACCCCCCTGATTAAATGGCACGCGTCAAGGTTGATAGGCGTGTACTTAAAGTGAGAATTCCATTAGCTGATAATTAACGCATACGAAGACGAGGTCGGAAATCCGTTTACTTTGACAATCCGTTCTCCAATAGGAAAAAATCGTCCTTTAACGCGTTGACTGCTAGAGAGGTCAAAATAATGATAAAAACGTAACAAAATTCAGAATACCATGAAAATTACACTGCTCAGTCAACGTGTTAACAATTGAATTCCCTCCCTTTTAACCCTCTGCCTTATCAAATCGAATTTCACTCGAACAAAATAAGTAAATGAATTTTCATTTACAAAATTGATCATTTTCAATGACAAACTACGTAAGACATTCCGTTCGTTTTTGATAGAAAAAAAAAAAACAAAAATCGTAAGGCAAGGGGTTAACGATATAAAAGAAAAATTATATAGACTGGAATGACAGTATTTTAGATGGTCGGATGAAAGAAAATGATCAAAAAGAATGTATACATTAAATGATAAGCTTACGTGCTGGGTCACAATTTCTATTCGATTACTATTCGAAAAAGTTTTTCATTTTCCTTTTTAATAATCAAGGTAAGCGGGTGAGTGTGAATGAGCGAGGGTGATCAAACAAAAAATCATTATTACGTATTTCGTAAGTAAATTATAAATTGAACTCATACACAGTTTGTAGCGACTCGAGTCACTGGTTTATTAAGAAAGTAGAAGAAATAAAAAGATTAAAAATAATCATTCGTCTACTTTTTATTTACCGAAATCATTCCATTTCTTCTATCCTTCCATTAATCCTTCATAAAATAAGAAGTATATCATCTTTGTTCAGAGGAAACTTCGTATTGTGTAACAAAAAAGGTTCGATTTATTGTTCATAACTTATGTTAAAATAGATGTATAATAATAATAATCATAATAGTAATATCGACAGAGCCAATAAAATCTAAGATCGTGATGTTTCTTTATTCTCTTCACATTTAACTAGATCGTTTGTTCATTTTACAGATATACCTCAGAAAAATACACTTCTCTCTCATCTTTTCTCTCTCTCTTTCTCTTTGTTTTATAACATTCCTTATTCCATATGGGAACGGTTAAGAGTAATAAAAATATCGTTCGACGAATTTAATCGTTCATCACGTGCAACACGAACGTGTATCTCTCTTATTTGTTCTTGTGTTTAAATATGTATCTCTTTTGTTTGTTTGTTCATCACAGATTACTCCTCCTCGAAAAAATACAGGCCACAGATTTCTAACATACTAATATATCGATTCTCTCTTATTCGTTTTCATTTATGGCCAACGTATTTAAAATAATTGATCGACGAGCAACGATCGAGGATAAAGGAAAAATCTATCATTCTTTTTTTTTATTATTTAGTACGTAATATACGTATTTATATAATTAGATAAATATAACAGTGTCAGCGATAAAACTGCTCGTCCCTTCTTCTTCGTGTACGAAGAAACGAGTAATGTTCAACAATTATGTGACAGATCCGTAACGCGTGTACGTCCATTCTTCGCAACACGTTTACTTTCTGGCACAGAAGTGAATAATTTACACACACACGGTAAGATCCTGTACAAAAATAAGGAGCAGCATTTAAGCGGTTATTGTTCTTGGCGAGATATATCCCAGAAACTTTACTTTCCTCGTGTTTTTTTCCTAATCCTCGCTAAACGCGCGTGCTCGTTCTTCGTTTTCGGAAATTTTTCTTTGTTCTTTCTTTCCATTTTTATTTTCGTTTGCTTTTTCTCGGACCGCGCATCGAACTCGTTTTACGGACGTTCCTAGTTTGCATATTTAATAATTTGTTCAATCTCGTTAAATCATGTATACTTAACATACGTATGTATATAACTATGTAATATGTATATGTATAATATATTCTAAGATTTCCTATAAAAAAGAAGTTTCGTCGCCTGGTGAACGAACAACCGTACGATTTCGCAAAACCTCGTCTTCTTCCTCTAAGTTCAACTTATAAGAATTATTTTTTATTATTAAAAATATTACCCTAAAAACTTGGTTTTAAGATAAAGACAGTTTTTGAGATAGACAAAGTAAACCTAAAATTAAAATGAAAAGGGATGCTTGTAGATTCTCTTATTGTCTATTATCGTTTACTTTTTCTAACTCGATTTAGTTCACATTCTTTCAAAAAATGTGCCAGTCTATAATATCAGATTCGCGAAATCGAACGATTGATGTTACCCTAAAGTTTCCTATAAAAATAATACAACAAGCTTCGCTATATTACGTGTATAAGTCGTTAGCCGTACGATCTTATATGTTATAACAAAATAATTAATATCGTATAACGCGGCAACAATCGATCGGTAAAAGTTGCGTTCCATCTAAAAGTTCTCTAAGCGTAAAAGTGTGTGTTCTATTCTTGGTGTTCAGCACGAGAAAAAAAAAAAAAAAGTAATAATAATTCTGTTTCTCCTTTTGAAAAACTGGATTGACTAGCGATCTTTCAAAACCTTCTATTAAAAAGAAACGAGAATCGTGTACGAGCTGTGTTGCTCGTAAAGATGACCAGAGAAAGTGGAAGATAAAAGATGAAAAAAGATCGAAAACGAAACGACTACTCGATTCTTGAACAATACAGAATGTACATAAAAATAAATGGTCAAAGTTTGACCATTTATTATTAATGTCACCCTGTGTTATTAATACTTTGACGGCCAATATTAAATATTGAAGACTTGAAAAATGGAAATTTTGCGATACACGGAAATTATTATATGAGAGATTCCATTTGAGATGAAACGTAAAATTAGAAGAGTTGTAATATGTAAAGACCGTCAAAGTGTTAAGACTACTATATCACATATCGTGAAAATATCTTGATAAGTGTATATGTATTTTTGGGGGCGTTCAAAGAGCTTTCTCGTGTCTTTTCTTTCTTTTCCAAGCGTTGAAATCTCCCAGGCGCGTACGTTCAATGGCACTTGCACTGTGTAAAGCTTACGCAATGTATATGTACATGATACAAGTACATAATGCCTTTAAAGGATTTGTACGTTGTTCGTATATATCGTTAGAATTCATCTTTGGCTTTGAAGCGTCTTGTATATCCTTCTTTCTTTCCCTTCACCCTAAAATACATCTATTTAGAAGCTCAATGAAAATATTCTGCGAAGATATTATACATTTCCTCTCTTTACATATATATTTTTCTTCTGACAACGTTAAGACGATCAATTTTGCAGCTTTCTCATCGATACTAGCTGTACAAACGTTCGCTAAATTGTCTTTTTTTTTTTTTTTTTTTTTTGGTCAGTCCTTATGTACAATGTTTAATACGTATTAATTTTCTTTTTTCTCTCTAAGACTGTATGATATTTTCGTAGATATTTTTGAATTTAAGACACAACAGTGTTCCAGGGATAAGAGTTGATCGTTCAACGTTTCGTTAGAGGAAGTGTGTCGGGGAATCGAGTATCCCTAAAGTTGCGCTCCAAAAATTACTTCGCTTCTCGCGTAAATTCACTGGTTCTTATTTTTTTTCTTTTTTTCATTGAATAAAAAGTAATCGGTTAACGTCGATGCTCATAAATCGATCGAAAATCACGATAGCTAGTGTATTAATAATGGCTAACGTTTCTTTAATCAGAAACAGTTTAATTAAAATACTTAGTACCGCTAGGCTGGTTTTTCGTATACTATGCCTACGTTTAAAAAGTTATTTAAAAAACATGTTTCCTAGCTAAGGACTGAAGTTGTTAAATAAAAGAAGAAATTAAAGGAGGAGGGAATAAAAGGAGCGGCTGACAAAGCGGAATACAGAAATTGTAAAATAAAGAAGAAAACGAACGCCTTTTGCAGATGATTTACAACTACTTGGGACTAGACCTAAAATTGGCTATTAAGATGAATTTAACCCTATCATTCGTTATCTCCTGTGTTTCTCCTAAATATAATCATCTATTAGAATATATTCGATCGGTGAGTGAACTTTGATAAATAGTAGACCAATTACGTATTAGTTATGCAGCTATAAAATAAAGTGCAAAATATAGTCTTATTCTTTTTACCCTTACGGAATTCAATACGTCTAATAAAAACAGTCTTCCAACTTTAAACGTTAAAATTGCGGTGCATCTTCAATCGAACAGCAAATTTATCCGAAGGTACGTTTTATCTTCAACGTGGGACTAATTACAGGATATCGTTGAAAGAAATGCGATCAAACTAAATTTCGTGGTACGTCCTCCACTTATAACGTTTGAAGTGTTCTCAGTCTCATTCGTTATTACCGATCCCTGTCTTCCTCCTAGAATACCCTAACACGCGTATATCTTTTTTTGCCAATTGTATACGATTAAGAAAATACGCTATAAAAAGCGAAAAGCGTCTAAAATGCCTGGCTGCCTTTCATCGAGGAAAATGTTAAGAAATTTGCGATTAATCGCAGGCACGTTTGAAAATCTCTACGAATCTTCAATTAAAATATTGCCCGAACGATTTCGAAACGAGACTGTTAACAAAGGAAACGGGTAAAACTGTCCCACGAAACATATATTCTATCCCTGACTGTGACGTAATATGCTTGGAACAGATTAAATGTCATATCGGAACCAGGACATGCAAGAGATTGATCGATGTTTTCAACTTCGTCGAATCGAAACGCATTAAATGCATTCACCGCAACCGTATTTTAATAGAGTTGGTACTCTTGGAATTTTCGGCACAGTTTATCGATCTCCTCGTACCTTAATTGCGAGCTTACAGGGCTGGAAGCCCTAGTGGCAGGCGCGGTTCTACTACGTCGTACAAAACTTCTTAATGGTATCTTACTGTGTCCCTGATTATGATTCACATCTAACGTCGAGTACCGTCTTAGGGCACGGCGTAGACGTTCTGTGGACGCGTAATCGGTCACCTCCATGCTATGCTGCTCTTTCAGATTAGGCTTGGTCTCTTTCGAGTCCAGTAGCTTTAAACTAAAATTCGCGGAGTGACGTTTAGTCCTGTCTAGCATGCACTTCGATTGCACGACTTTAGGCTTCTCCTTGTCTAGTATCAACGAGTTCCTTCGTTTCATCTTATCATCCATAGGTCTCTCATGATTAACGCCAAAACCAAACCTCGACCTCATCATTGGCCCAAGATACGCTGGGTTCTTCTTGTCTAATTGTTGAGCAGATTGCTTTACCATACTCAAACCATCCTCGCAATCAATGGAAGTCCTAACATTGTTTGCCTGATCGGCACCGTTCGTTTTTCGCTTGATACAATCCTCGTATTCTACGGATGAATTTCTCTTCGGCTTGCCTTTGTCGAAGCTCATACCGGTTGTTCGTCCACCGGCACGATTCACGTTGAAGGAGGTCCTTCTTTTGCCAAACACGGAGTCTTGAAGATGAGG